TATGATGTTGAATTGCACTCATTGATCTACCAGTTATGTTGAATGATTTCTCTTTCAATATCAATTACTCACAAATACTTCATATATTTCAATCATACAAACAACTGCTCATTCAATGTGTGACGGTCGTATTATATACCGCTTGCGGTAACCTTGTTTATATCTGTATGTCCTTTGATATTTTGATTACATAGCAATGCTTAGCATTATGCAATACATGTATTAAATCATCAAGTATATTTCTAAATAGATTTCCTGTTAAAGTACTGGGTTACATGCATATTAAATCTCAAAAAGCATATAGAACGTTAACACATACCTGATTAACATTTTCCTTTTAAATATTGTTGAGGTCTTTCAACAAACCTCCAAGATCCACTGCTGGCAGCATTTCATCAATACTGTACATCTTGGAATTGTGCGATCTGTTAAGAAATTTATTACATTTTGAAATCTTGTCATTACCATCTATTGTGATTTTTTGTACCGGTTAGTGTATTCCTCAATGGTCTATAGGGTTCAGTGGAGTTGATACTGTCTCACTGACTATATATAGCTGCTGTGCAACCTGCTTGTATACAACATGCCTAAATGTGCCACCATCTACTTGTTCATTGTTCAGTCATATTTGCAATGCAAGTATAGGGGCCATAGGAAATCGAAATTTCTCATAGCTTTTCACAAGAATAAAACTTTTGGAGGAAATTTAAAGAATTTATTGAAATTGTTTAAAAACTGTCAAACAAGAATATCAGTAGTGTTGTATTTTGCAGCCACTATGCTGAAATTGTTGCCAAAGTTGAATGCACTGTTTGTTTACATTCTCCTTTGGTTTATACACAGTACCTGCAATCCTGGCAACTATTTTGGTATAGTACTATAGCTTAAAGTACAACACTATTATGTAATCACAAGATGGCCAAAACTATGATTAAAAGAGAGAGTTATCAGATTCTTCGTAACTAATATACTATTTTGGATTTGTACTTAACTAAGAAGTATTCTCAATTTTTCCACTTTATGTCTATACTGTATCACTATTAGCTATATTCATCGAGGTATAGAGCAAACGCCATACTTCTAGTCTAGGTTCTGTGAGTTCCGTTTTCCCTTGCTTAGATACCAAGTATGCAGGGCGATTACTTTTACTATTAGCTATTTGTGCTTTTATAATAGTTAAACAAAATATTTCAATATATATCTTGATTGTATGCACCATATCAATTGCTTATTCTCTTAACAGGCATGCATCGACGACAATCTGGACATGGTAGAGTTCCTGGTCGAGCATTCTGCAGACGTAGATGTGTGCGACAACGAAGGTTGGACGCCACTTCACGCCACAGCGTCATGTGGCTTCACAGAAATAGCCAGGTATGTAAATCACTGCGGAATTATGTTGTCTAAACGAAATAACCATATGTAACAAGTCATAGGGCTTCACAGAAATAGCCAGGTATGTAAAACACTGCGGAATTATGTGGTCTGAACGAAAAAACCATATGTAACAAGTCATAGGGCTTCACAGAATATCTAGAAAAAATAATCTAAATTTGTCAATTGTGATCAAGTCACTCAGTTTCAATTGATATTTAATTTGTTTGCAAATATGTCAATAAATATTTAGCAAATGATTGAATAAAAGAAATCTGACAACATTACTTGTGACAACCAACAACCTCTCTGAGGCATCAAAATGCTTATTTGTTTGGAGACATTGTAGGCATTCTATTGTTTTAATGCTGTCCGTTACTAATGGTCAGTAGTACAGCCTTGATGACATTGTAGGCATTCTATTGTTTTAATACTGTCCGTTACTGATGGTCAGTAGTACAGCCTTGTAGACGTTGTAGGCATTCTATTGTTTTAATACTGTCCGTTACTAATGGTCAGCAGTACAGCCTCAGAGACATTGTAGGCATTCTATTGTTTTAATACTGTCCGTTACTAATGGTCAGTAGTACAGCCTTGTAGACGTTGTAGGCATTCTATTGTTTTAATACTGTCCATTACTGATGGTCAGTAGTACAGCCTTGATGACATTGTAGGCATTCTATTGTTTTCATACTGCCCATTACTGATGGTCAGTAGTACAGCCTTGTAGACGTTGTAGGCATTCTATTGTTTTAATACTGTCCGTTACTAATGGTCAGTAGTACAGCCTTGTAGACATTTTAGGCATTCTGTTGTTTTAATACTGCCCGTTACTGATGGTCAGCAGTACAGCCTTGTAGACATTGTAGGCATTCTATTGTTTTGATACTGTCCGTTACTAATGGTCAGTAGGACAGCCTTGTAGACATTGTAGGCATTCTATTGTTTTAATGCTGTCCGTTACTAATGGTCAGTAGTACAGCCTTGATGACATTGTAGGCACTCTATTGTTTTAATACTGTCCGTTACTAATGGACAGTAGTACAGCCTTGTAGACATGGTAGGCATTCTATTGTTTTGATACTGTCCGTTGTTAATGGTCAGCAGTACAGCCTCAGAGGCATTGAAGGCATTCTCTTGTTTTAATACTGCCCGTTACTGATGGTCAGCAGTACAGCCTTGTAGACATTTTAGGCATTCTGTTGTTTCAATACTGCCCGTTACTGATGGTCAGTAGTACAGCTTTGTAGACGTTGTAGGTATTCTATTGTTTTAATACTGTCCGGTACTATGGTCTGTAGTACAGCCTCAGAGACATTGTAGGCATTCTATTGTTTTGATACTGTCCGTTATTAATGGTCAGCAGTACAGCCTCAGAGACGTTGTAGGCATTCTATTGTTTTAATGCTGTCCGTTACTAATGGTCAGTAGGACAGCCTTGTAGACATTGTAGGCATTCTATTGTTTTAATGCTGTCCGTTACTAATGGTCAGTAGTACAGCCTTGATGACATTGTAGGCATTCTATTGTTTTGATACTGTCCGTTGTTAATGGTCAGCAGTACAGCCTCAGAGGCATTGAAGGCATTCTCTTGTTTTAATACTGCCCGTTACTGATGGTCAGCAGTACAGCCATGTAGACATTGTAGGCATTCTATTGTTTTAATACTGTCGTTACTAATGGTCAGTAGTACAGCCTCAGAGACATTGTAGGCATTCTATTGGTTTAATACTGCCCGTTACTAATGGTCAGTAGTACAGCCTTGTAGACATTGTAGGCATTCTATTGTTTTGATACTGTCCGTTATTAATGGTCAGCAGTACAGCCTCAGAGACATTGTAGGCATTCTATTGCTTTGATACTGTCCGTTACTATGGTCCGTAGAACAGCCGCAGAGACATGGTAGGCATTCTATTGTTTTAGTAGGGTCCGTTACTATGGTCAGTAGTACAGCCTCATAGACATTGTAGGCATTCTATTGTTTTAATACTGTCTGTTACTAATGGTTAGCAGTACAGCCTTGTAGACGTTGTAGGCATTCTATTGTTTTGATACTGTCCGTTACTAATGGTCAGTAGTACAGCCTCAGAGACATTGTAGGCATTCTATTGTTTTAATACTGCCCGTTACTAATGGCCAGTAGTACAGCCAGTCACAGATGGACCTACTTATAAAGTGACTTGGTATGTGAGATTAGTGTAAACATTGTAACACATATTGTGTACTTGCACACATGCCAGCCTCCATGATGAGATTATACATACCACGACCTCTGTCTCATCAGATACTATTACAAACAACAGTATTTCGGAATGTTTTGGTCTTATGAGATAAAATATATTTTGAAAGTTGGAACAGTTTTTCTCTGGTTGTACTTTTTATTTCTCATTCACCAAATATTGCACTGACATGAGCTTTCGCCAGTGTCCAGGATTATTTTCTCCATATTGATATAAATGATGTGTCATACACCAGGTTTGTAAGCAGTGCTTTTTAGCACCCCTTCATACAATCTAATGTTGGTCATGTAATTAAGTTGGAGTTTGATTTTCAGTCCTGTACGTTCATTATAAATAATTCATGTTACCTTGCAAGTATATATGCTTCCATGCTAATGTTTTATCAGGGTTTCAGACACCTTGTCCAGGTATCTATATAGAAATCATATATAATGCAGTACTATGTGTTCTGACCACACGTAACTTAACACTGGGAACTAACCCAGGGGTGTATCCCAACCTTCATTATGAGACCTCTGTGGTTTAGATCTAATGGTATCGTGGCCCTATAGTACAGTAGTGAGTGAGTAGTACAGGGGGACTACTGTAAACAAATATCTCATTTCATCACCTGAGATTGATATAGAAGATGTTCTTCTACACAGGAAAACGTATTGATACATTCAGCTACATCTGACTTGTCTGTTCGTAAGAAATAAAGCCAGAAAATCTACCGATTTAAATATATATATCAAATTATATGATGTTTTATCTACAGGCATTGTGTTAAGATGTAGGTCAAGTTTGAAATTGAATATTTGTGTCAATATTTGACCCATTTATATAGGGTCCTTAGTATGCTTTGAAGTTGTGGTCACAGGAGGTTATAACAGGGAAGGTAGATAACAAAGGTACTGTAGACAGGGGGAAATAGAATCCAACATACAATCTGAAGATCGTAGTTTTTTGGGGGGTTGTTAGGTTTATGTATACTTGCAAGCTTTAAAAAGTTTGATCGACAACCACATTCTGATTATTCAACAAAGTTCCATGGTACATAAACAGTTCCTGGTTTCTGATTGTAAGATTTTTTTTTTTTTATAGATAGTACTATGGTTATTGTATAAATTGGGAAGATTTCACATTCAGATCTAGTGTCCATTAGACTTGAAGGTTACATATATACATTCCACAGTTCATTCTGCCTGACCCTTGTACAACAAGACTCCTGCGGTGTGATTATATATCAGGCTAAACTAAATATCTGTTGTTTTCATTTTACATGTCTTAAAAAATCTGATGGATACCTGTAGGAAGAGAACAAATTTAACAATTTCAAGTTATTTTACAAAAGTTTAATAGAGATAACATTAAAAATTTGAACAGGCTGGTTTAGGGTCAAATCTGTCCCCTCAAATACTGGCAGGATATAGTCGGTGGATTAGCTGTAGCTGGATTAACTCATTCACCCCTGAAGACACATTTGTACTCTTTTAATTCAAAGGTTGGAATAGTTCATTACGAAATGTAAGGGATGAATGAGTTCAGGAACCTCCACTTTCTAGGCATAATGTCTTACTAAACATTATGCTAGTGACCAGGTTGACTGACCACAACCCAGCATCAATATAACACATACTTGGATTTCACCTGTCTATAGGCAGGTACCTGTTACTTCAGTGAGCAGAGTAAACAAGGAGGGGACAGATGTCTCTTCAATCATATCTTTACATTTGGCGAGTACTTATTGTAGTGTAGGTTGTAAGAACACACCTATAGAGGTTAGAAGAAATGGTGCGGTGACCAAGCCCCATGCATTGTAAATTAAACTAGGTCATGTAGAACCTGAAACAGGGAAATAGGTTGTGTTTTTAAACAGATAATTGCATTGTGAATGGGGAAAATAGATGATAAATATAGAACTAGCTATTTTTCTACATATTTCAATATTGTCATTATTCTAAACAGTACGTGTTATTTAACAATTTTCGGTGCAAATCAAATTTGGTTGTTTTTAACATGACGAGGTACTATAGTCTGGGGTCCATATAGCTTCTGTATGTGTATCCTTACACTTACATATGTAAGTCATGGGCCCAGTTTTCCAACTGGTACAAGTGTGAGACCAATGAGTAGACTACCACACATTCATCTGGATGAGTCCACTATGGTCTATACATGAAAGGGTAACGAAATTCTATTGTATCCTTTGAGCACTGTAGTAGTCTGATGGAACTGTTTTACACATTTTAAATGTAAAATAACCAAGTGCGTTAAAAGGACATAGTCAATGTGCTTTGAACTGTTTCTACAGATTATGCTGCCACCTTTTGTACAGTAACATTTGGCGATATAAAATAGGGTGGCCACAATAAATTTGTGAGCAGGGTTATACCTTATGGCATTATTACAGATTGTAGCACAATATCAAATTTTATTCTAATATTTTTGCAATACATTAGCAAACTATAAATACATGTTAGAATTTAATCACAAGATTTATTAAAAGAAACCTGTACTTCTCATTAGTTGTGAGTTTCGTTACACCTATTAAGTCTTTTAGGCTTTTGTTACTGGTAGTCATATCAAGTGTTCAGTTACATTGTTTGTCAGTATTTTAACAATGTGACAACCTCTATGCATGGTAGCTCATGAGGTTGTAAAAGTGTTCACAAATTATTGGCATTATAAGGAGGTTTTACTTTATATAAGTTATTGGCATTATAAGGAGGTTTTACTTTATATAAATTATTTGCATTATAAGGAGGTTTTACTTTATATAACTTATTTGCATTATAAGGAGGTTTTACTTTATATAAATGAGGGGTATTATATTGAGGTGTCACTTTATATAAAAGAGGGGTATTATATTGCACTTTATATAAATGAGGGGTATTATATTGAAATTTTACTTATATAAATTAGAGACTTTATCAGGAAATTTTACTGTGTGTAAATGAAGGGCATTATAATGAGGTGTCACTTTATACAAAAAGAAGGAAATTCTAACCATGTTTTGCTGTATATTATATGTATGTATGTAGCTCTCATTTTGTGAAAGGTTGTATACAGTGATGAGGGCATGCAGAATTTTTATGGACTTAGTGACTTATAGAAATGTGATCGAAAAGTGACAACAGGAAATGGCTATTTTTATAAAGTATGTAATCCCATACACTGGATATATTGGGGTCGTTCAAGTAAAATATGATAGAAAGTTTGGACATTTCTGGTGCATTGTGATTCAGAAAATGAACTGGTACGTACTGGTACATACATGTATGGTGAGAGTGTATATGCATAAAACCTTGTTCAAAAATATCTTTGTGTTGAACAACAATAGAGTGTCCCATCTTGTTGACATATTAGATATTAACTAAAACAGCAGACTCTTAGTGCATTGAGTGGAACATTTATAGGCATGTAAATTCTCTTTGAAGTAATTTTTTGTTTTCATAATTTTTCCCATTCAAGTTAGTTGTAGATTTAAGGCAGCCCTAGTATATGGAGGTTATGTAGGGTGATGTATTTATACTGACAGACTTGTAAATTTGTACAGGATCTTGTTCATTTAATCAACTACATCTTTAAAATCGATGTCATTTGGAAGAATTTTTTATCATTCATTCATAACCAAACACCTTCTCACTTGTCCAATATAATGACATAAACCTGCTACTCTTTAATTAAAGCACTCGCATACATTTGAAAAACCCCTCCTAACACCCTATCCTTTCACTCCCTCCCTTTACCTCGCACACCTTTTCTTTCACTTAACTGAAACACTGGTAAGCTTTCACTTTACCCCCTGTGCCCCCATTCTCTTTCACTGAGGCAAATCACTGGTAAACTTTCCCTCTACCCCTGTGCCCCCATTCTCTTTAACTCATTTACCCCTAAAGACACATTTGAACTCTTCCAATTCAGAGGTTGGAATAGTTCATTATGAAAGTTCAGGGGTGAATGAGTTAACTCGCAAACTGGTAAGGTTTATTTCTACCCCCTTGTGCCCCCCCTTCTTTTTCATTTAATTAACATACCAACAAACTCTTTCCACCCACTTCACAACCTTACTTTCTCTCACTACACTCTACATTCAGGTACAAGCCCTTTTCCTTACGAAACTCCACACACAGGTACAAGACTCTTTCCTTACTCTGCTCTCACACACAGGTAGGACCCCTCTGCTATTTATTATCCCCTTGTACCCCATTCACTCCTCTCCGATACTGTTGAGACCCCACCCTTCCACCGTTCAGTTTGGTTTCAAACTCCAATCCTGATTGCCTATAACAGAGGTATATGTATATTGTGGAGTAAGAATCGGTGAACCTTGGCATATTAGCAGTGTCTGACAGTATACAGAGATTGCACACTTTCTCTGATACAGCCTTCACTGGATAATATATAGTTGTTAGGTCTATTGATAAAAACGCTGTACAGAATCCTGGCATGTTAGTGCAGGGCAACAACTGGCTCTGTCAGCTACGGAGCCATGCTAGTATTGTATTGATAAGGAAGAAATGGCATGTGTAAGTATATGTATAAGCCTAGAAAAAAAAAAGTTTGGTTAAAAATAGTATGTTATGTTTCTGAGACTGAAGTCACCTAATAATGTAATTGATTACAGATGATGACCTTTGAACTATTGAGATGATGGCCTTTGACCTTTGTGACTATAGTAGATAATTTAACTTAAGCTCTGGTTAGACAATTGTCAGAATGATGTGACCAGGTTTGATGGCATTGTGTCCAATTTATGACATTTCCTTGAAATGTCACTTTCAAGTGGCCGTTGAGTCGTCCCATCACCTGAACACCATATGACCCTATAAGGATGTTACGAGGATATAACACTGTAAACAACCAAACAGACTTTAACCTGTGCACTCTTAAATTTACTGTCCAGATGCCTGTTCATATTTGTTAAAGAACACCACATCCTGTTTCTTGAAAAAAAGAAATTATTTTCCCTTGAAATCAGTTTTGCTATGTTGTGGTACTGATCTAGTTCACCGTTTATTATCCAATGGTATGATGTTGTTGAAGTCATTACCCTTCAGATTGTTTTTTAGCATAAGGCTTATGGAAGACACAAAGTGTATTATTGTCACTTTTTAACTTTTAATCAACTCAATGTCAATCATCACAAATTGTTGGGCTTTAATGTTCTGACCTTTTTTTCGGTTGCAAATAGTTGATTGAAAAGGACTGTCGGTGAGATGTTAAATCAGTATGTAAACAAATGAAAACACTTCCAATTAACAAAAGTAAGTTTTCAGAAAATTCTTGTTCCATTATTGCAGTTTAAAAAATGGTAAAACCTCCTCTTTGGTCCATACCTTTGATACACATTAAATGTCCTTAATCTTTCTCCTGTAGGTACCTGTTACGGATTGGTGCCAATGTGGCGGCCGTCAACAACGACGGGGACCTACCTTTCGACATTTGTGAAGATGGAGAAATGGAAGCACTCCTACAAGAGGAGATGGACAGACAAGGTATTTTGTGGTCACACAAGGGGTAGATTTCGCCTCTGACCCAGGCGTTTGATATTTGGTGTCGGCCAGTTTATTTCTTGAGGAAGAAAGCCCAGAGGGTTGTAAATTAGGACAGGGATGTGAAGATTTCAAACAGCAATACAAGCAAGATGTCTCCACTATAGCCTTCATTACTCAATAGTTTATATTGTTATCTGAATCAGTTGATTTGTCCAATTTGATTATCATTTTGAAGCAAAAAATTATAAACCAACACTTGGTAAAGATTAAAATGGACCTTTATGAAGTTGACAATATGTTGAAATTTTTATTGTGAAGGCCAGGTTGGTCATTTCTGATCAGGAATTGACTCAAATAAGCACAGCCATGAAGGTTAAGAAAAAGTTGAAAATGTCTCGCTCAATTAGACCAAAGTGACTATCTTGAATTTCAAATCAGCCCTATGTAATGTCAAAATCATTTGTAATTTTGTTTGTTAAAGTTGTCTTGATGAATTGAAGATTTGCAAAGGTAAAGAAAGGCCTTTTAGACTTCATTCTTTTTCCCTAATTAAACCCAGCCACTACAAAACATAATTAATATTTTAGGTTAATTTACAATATTTTGCATAAATATATATATTTGTGCGAAATAAACAGTTATTACTAGATCAGCTTAGTTGCTACAAAGCATTGCTTTGTTATTCAACAAAGACAAATACTTTTGTAATAACTTGTCAAAATAACCATTAAAATTAAAGCTTATGCATATGGCATATATTCAAAACTTCTATAGATTATTTAGATAAAAATCTGGATACAATTTAGCCATTAAAATAGTATCCTGTTAAATTGAGTATAAACTAAATCATTGGTATCGGTGAATATTTTTGCTCAGTTTTACTGCCAAATACAGGATATTTCCCCTAGCTAAAAAGGGCCTTATTTTCCCAAAATGACCCGAATCTGAGGAAGATATTCTCAAATTCAATACAATTAATGCTATATTTTCCCAATTTATAAAGGAACAGGCTGTTGTAAAATTTAGGTAACAAAAACACTGGGTATCATATGTTTAGGTTCAGCAATATTCACCTGAATTAAAAATATTTTTATTGCATATTGGATCTGATTTATTTGCCTTATCATTGCTAATTTGCATAGTTGATTAGGTGATAGCTGTCATTGTAGTACATTTTGTTATAATTAACACTTATCAATAGAGTAACTGAGAGATGGAATAGAGATACTTGTTAAGTTATCACTGATGTCATCTTCATACAGGACACAGATCTTGGGACATAGGAAGATATTACTTAGATTAACTCATTCACCCCTGAAGACACAATTGAACCCTTCCAATTCAGAGGTTGGAATAGTTCATTATGAAATTTCAGGGGTGAATGAGTCAATAGGTGTTCCATTGACTTGGTTGGTGTGTGCCCCAATATGTCGGTATAGATGGCTTAATCCTAATAGGACTCAAATGACCTCTGATATCCAATATTTACAGTCAATAGAATGGATAGCTTGTACAAATTTATAAAATTCATATCTCAAAATGTTTCCCTAATTGAGAAAGTAAAATATGTTAATAAATCTTTTTGGTTCTCTCTTTGATAACTTTTTACACTGATATTCGTAGCAGAGCGAAAATTTCTGGAGAAACATGCAGTTTTTGTCTTAACAAGGATTTAAATTGTCATGTTGTCTATGCTTTGTGGAACGGAGGCCTAGATGGTGAAAAAAGGAAATAAGAACAGAAGGCTTTGACGAGTGCTATGTTAGAGTACAACTGATCTTGACAGATTAAAGATAGAGTTGATATAAATAACAAAAAAGGTCAGATAGTCTGTTAGACCTCATTTAACTCAGACGTCCCTGTAATTTTGTACTGTAGTGCTCTTCAGGTATATTTGTTTACCCTGGGGTCAAAAAGGGGATCAGTAAAAATAGTCATACAGACAGAGATATGGATCCATTCAGAAAATTAAATAAATGCAGAGAGAGTTATCATAGAAAATACTGAAAATGTCTGGATCTTTGTTTTTTTAGTTTGATAAAAAAAAAAAAATATATTGCAATTGGTAGAGTGGGCTTCTTTTTAGAGGTCAGAGCATTTTCTCATACTGATGAAGCTAAGCCTGACAGTTTATGGCAGAATTAGAACATTTCATATGAAATGTTCTATGCGTAAATATTATAAGATAAAAGGCGTAGGCGATGATATGAGTGTGAGACTGTCCAAGATGAACACTCGGTCAGCTTTGCATGGTCAGTCTAAGGATATAGGTGGACATTAAAGTGTCATAGGCCTTGTGAAGAGACAGGTCAACCGAGTACTACTGACCCTGTATGAGAGGACAGGATGTGGCAGAATTATAACATACAAGCTGTCCACTTTGTGGGTTTATAATTATGTATGGACCTCTGAAGTACTGGGCAGTCCTTGTTTGGGTGTTAATGAACAGGGTGTTCTGTGAACGCCATAGACACAGCCCTGTAAGGCAGGGTGAACCTGATCATTATGCTTTGACCATGTGTCCTTTAATTTAACAGTAAAGGTTGGATGATTGGGGGTAGGGGGGAGGGCAGTATGCCAAGATTATTTCTTTCGTAGTTTTCCCAATAATTTCATGGAATGATATTTTCTCCATGTTACAGATAATAGGAAAGATTATCTGCAGCTACCGTGTGTACATATAAAGCAATTTAGTTTTATCAGACTCCTGCAGTTTTGTTCCTGAGACAGTTTTGCATGAATTAAGTTGTAATGAACACCATCAATAGATTTCTAATAAACCCTACCAGAAAAGCAACAAATTCGCAATTTGATTATTTTACATATTATTTCAGGCCACAAATACAGTGAAAACAAAACATTTGCAAAATATATATGTTATTGTAATGTGTTTCAACACAACATATTTTTAATATACAATTTCAACAAAAAAAAGAGCTTTCCTGATTTCAATATTTGTTACTCAAAATAATGAGCCAGTAGTGTATGCCTACAGTGGACCAATACAAAGACTGGATTTGTCATTGTAACCTGTGTCAACCCTATCTCGTTTAAAACCCCAGTAGTATGGCCACACTTGTAAGGTTTGTAGAGGTTCATTCACAACTTGTCTGAACAGGTCAGAGGTCAATTCATTCTTATACACCAACCAATCAATACAAAAGGTTTATACTAGAGAAACACTTGAACCTACTTACCATTCCTTCGGTGGAACATAGATCTAGATTGACAAGGGGACCTGTATTGGGTATTAATGGTATGGCTCTAGAGAGATCATAGGACCGATCTGGTGTTATTGGTACAGAGATATATCTATCTGGTGTTGTGGGTACAGATCTATATCTATCTGGTGTTGTAGGTAGAGATATTAATGATATGGCTCTAGAGAGACCAGAGGACCTATCTGGTATTGTGGGTACAGAGATATTAATGGTATGGTTCGAGAGAGACCAGAGGACCTATCTGGTGTTGTGGGAACAGAGATATTAATGGTATGGCTCTAGAGAGGTTGTTGGTACATAGATATTAATGGTATGGCTCTAGAGGGACCAGGGGACCTATCTGGTGTTTTGAGTACAGATATATTAATGGTATGGCTCTAGAGAGACCAGAGGTCCTATCTGGTATTGTGGGTACAGAGATATTAATGGTATGGTTCTAGAGAGACCAGAGGACCTATCTGGTGTTGTGGGTACAGAGATAGTACAGAGATATTAATGGTATGGCTCTTGAGAGACCAGAGGACCTATCTGGTGTTGTTGGTACATATATTTTAATGGTATGGCTCTAGAGAGACCAAAGGGCCTATCTGGTATTGTGGGTACAGAGATATTAATGGTATGGTTCGAGAGAGACCAGAGGACCTATCTGGTGTTGTGGGAACAGAGATATTAATGGTATGGCTCTAGAGAGATTAGGGGACCTATCTGGTGTTGTGGGTACAGAGATAGTACAGAGATATTAATGGTATGGCTCTTGAGAGACCAGAGGACCTATCTGGTGTTGTTGGTACATAGATATTAATGGTATGGCTCTAGAGGGACCAGGGGACCTATCTGGTGTTTTGAGTACAGATATATTAATGGTATGGCTCTAGAGAGTCCAGAGGACCTATCTGGTATTGTGGGTACAGAGATACCAGGGGACCTATCTGGTGTTTTGAGTACAGATATATTAATGGTATGTCTCTAGAGAGACCAGAGGACCTATCTGGTATTGTGGGTACAGAGATATTAATGGTATGGCTCAAGAGAGATTAGGGGACCTATCTGGTGTTGTGGGTACAGAGATATTAATGGTATGGCTCTAGAGTGACCAGGGGACCTATCTGGTGTTTTGAGTACAGATATATTAATGGTATGGCTCTAGAGAGACCAGAGGACCTATCTGGTATTGTGGGTACAGAGATACCAGGGGACCTATCTGGTGTTTTGAGGACAGATATATTAATGGTATGGCTCTAGAGTGACCAGAGAACCTATCTGGGGTTGTGGGTACAGAGATATTAATGGTATGGTTCTAGAGAGACCAGAGGTCCTATCTGGTATTGTGGGTACAGAGATATTAATTGTATGGCTCTAGAGTGACCAGGGGACCTATCTAGTGTTGTGGGTACAGAGATATTAATGGTATGGCTCTAGAGAGACCAGAGGACTTATCTGGTGTTGTAGGTATAGAGATATTAATGGTATGGCTCTAGAGTGACCAGAGAACCTATCTGGTGTTGTGGGTACAGAGATATTAATGGTATGGCTCTAGAGTGACCAGAGAACCTATCTGGGGTTGTGGGTACAGAGATATTAATGGTATGGCTCTAGAGAGACCAGGGGACCTATCTGGTGTTGTTGGTACAGAGATATTAATGGTATGGCTCTATAGAGACCAAAGGGCCTATCTGGTGTTGTGGGTACAGAGATATTAATGGTATGGCTCTAGAGGGACCAGAGAACCTATCTGGTGTTGTGGGTACAGAGATATTAATGGTATGGCTCTAGAGAGACCAGAGGACCTATCTGGTGTTGTGGGTACATAGATATTAATGGTATGGCTCTAGAGAGACTAGAGGACCTATCTGGTGTTGTTGGTACAGAGATATTAATGGTATGGCTCTAGAGAGACCAAAGGGCCTATCTGGTGTTGTGGGTACAGAGATATTAATGGTATGGCTCTATAGAGACCAAAGGGCCTATCTGGTGTTGTTGGTACATATATTTTAATGGTATGGCTCTAGAGAGACCAGAGGACATATCTGGTATTGTGGGTACAGAGATTTTAATGGTATGGCTTTAGAGAGACCAGAGGACCTATCTGGTGTTGTTGGTACATATATTTTAATGGTATGGCTCTAGAGAGACCAGAGGACATATCTGGTGTTGTGGATACAGAGATTTTAATGGTATGGCTTTACTAGAGAGACCAAAGGGCCTATCTGGTGTTGTTGGTACATATATTTGAATGGTATGGCTCTAGAGAGACCAAAGGGCCTATCTGGTGTTGTTGGTACATATATTTGAATGGTATGGCTCTAGAGAGACCAAAGGGCCTATCTGGTGTTGTTGGTACATATATTTTAATGGTATGGCTCTAGAGAGACCAGAGGACCTATCTGGTATTGTGAGTACAGAGATATTAATGGTAAGGCTCTAGAGAGATTAGAGGACCTATCTGGTGTTGTAGGTACAGAGATATTAATGGTATGGCTCTAGAGAGACCAGAGGTCCTATCTGGTATTGTGGGTACAGAGATATTAATGGTATGCCTCTAGAGAGACCAGAGGACCTATCTGGTATTGTGGGTACATAGATATTAATGGTATGGCTCTAGAGAGACCACAGGACCTATCTGGTGTTGTTGGTACATATATATTAATGGTATGGCTCTAGAGTGACCAGTGGACCTATCTGGTGTTTTGAGTACAGATATATTAATGGTATGGCTCTAGAGAGACCAGAGGACCTATCTGATATTAATGGTATGGCTCTAGAGTGACCAGTGGACCTATCTGGTGTTTTGAGTACAGATATATTAATGGTATGGCTCTAGAGAGACCACAGGACCTATCTGGTGTTGTTGGTACATATATATTAATGGTATGGCTCTAGAGAGACCCGAGGTCCTATCTGGTGTTGTGGGTACAGAGATATTAATGGTATGGTTCGAGAGAGACCAGAGGACCTATCTGGTGTTGTTGGTACATATATATTAATGGTATGGCTCTAGAGAGACCCGAGGTCCTATCTGGTGTTGTGGGTACAGAGATATTAATCGTATGGCTCTAGAGAGACCAGAGGACCTATCTGATATTAATGGTATGGCTCTAGAGTGACCAGTGGACCTATCTGGTGTTTTGAGTACAGATATATTAATGGTATGGCTCTAGAGAGACCACAGGACCTATCTGGTGTTGTTGGTACATATATATTAATGGTATGGCTCTAGAGAGACCCGAGGTCCTATCTGGTGTTGTGGGTACAGAGATATTAATCGTATGGCTCTAGAGAGACCAGAGGACCTATCTTGTGTTGTAGGTACAGAGATATTAATGGTATGGCTCTAGAGAGACCAGGGGACCTATCTGGTATTGTGGGTACAGAGATATTAATGGTGTGGCTCTAGAGTGACCAGGGGACCTATCTGATATTGTGGGTACAGAGATATTAATGGTATGGCTCTAGAGTGACCAGGGGACCTATTTGGTGTTGTGGGTACAGAGATATTAATGGTATGGCTCTATAGTGACCAAGGGACCTATCTGGGGTTGTGGGTACAGAGATATTAATGGTATGGCTCTAGAGAGACCAGAGGACCTATCTGGTGTTGTGGGTACAGAGATATTAATGGTATGGCTCTAGAGAGACCAGAGGTCCTATCTGGTATTGTGGGTACAGAGATATTAATGGTATGGCTCTAGAGAGATTAGAGGACCTATCTGGTGTTGTGGGTACATACCTAGGCACAGTGACAGCGAGGATGAGTTAATTATAAATTCTTCATAATATATTTTGACTGCTTAGTGAATCAGGTGATACGCTTAATCGCTCACTTTGTTAAAAAAAATGCCTATCAAGCTTAAGTTCTGGCACAACTTTAACATCTGACATTTGCAAATATATACAGTTTAGGTCTCTGTGGCCCCAATCTGTTATGCTATAGGAACTTGAATATTGTGTAGATAAGAAAAAATGTAAGTATGTAAGAATACAAAAGGTTCTGCATGTGTGAAACCAATTACAAGTCAATGTGCAAGCTGATCAATTGAATTTGCTAAAGAAACCCAACCTTCTTCCAGATGAAATAAAATTCATCAGCTTTGTGTGGTAAAGAGCCAATAGGTATTTAGTGTAGAAAGATTGCCTGTCCAACAAAAATAACCTATCGTGTTTACACTGGGGGGAGCTGGGAGGGGAAGGAGGAGGAGGAGGAGGAAGTGGAGCTAGAAGGAGAATGGTGTTCACTCTCTGATGGGGCCATTGGAATCCTCTGTACCACTATCACACTTTAAAATCTGTTGTCTTAGTGAAATTCCTGAATAAAGTAAAAATGAGGGAGGGGAGGAACTTTCACATAGCTATGGATAGCTTGAGTGTTAACATAACAGTTAGCTGTGGTCTAGTTCTCCTAGGATGTGCTAAGTAGCAGTACATACCATACTGAAGCTAATTAGCACACCGGGCACTTAGCTGTATCAAAGGGAAGAGGGGGATGTTCATTTTGGAAGGTAGACAGGTACACATGAACTAGAACTATGGAGGCTTTTAAATATACATCATCAAGTCTGCATACACACAGGAAGGCTGAGATGCTAGCTTGTTTAGATGTACATAGGGCTCTGGTTGTGAGAGGTGGGCAGGGCTTTGTTAGGTTCTATCGTGCTAATTAGGTAAGGTTGGACAGGTGCTCTCTAGTGGAGATAATGAAATTCCAGCTTCTCAAATACATTTTGTTATTTACTTCATTTTGCATATATATTATTCTGATCTAAAATGGATATGTCAAATAATTCAAAATATGTAAATAAAAGTTAAGTTTGACAAAGTTAAATATCAAGTAAATTTTTCAGTTTGTTTTCTATATATATTTATAGTTTTGACATCATCATTTGAAGAAAAAATTGAACCTGAAAATGTATGTCTCCGTATCAACAATTTAGTTGGTTGTAAAATAGTCATAAAGATCTTGAAGCTGAAGAGATTTATAAATTTATTGCTAGTAATAAATTGTATATCGGAAAATGCTTTAATTTGTTAGAATAAAAATCCCATTGAGATAGGTGAAACTGATGGTGTGTCAGGGTGCAGGGAGATTTACACTACACGATACAACATCTGATTGTATGTGTACTATTGCTAGCTTCCAGGAATCATATGAAGTATATTTAGATCTGTCTTGACAATTCTCATGTGATTTTTTGGAACCATAAACATGTTCACTGATCATGACCTGCCTTGTGTATGGCGTACATTGTACTGCACTTAACCATCCAACTTCACTGAAGTGCTCTCCTCTTGGTACTCAGATCAACATATTGAAATCAGGAAATATTTGGGTTGTAATAAGCAATGTCCTGACAAGTTGCCTACAGCCACGTCCACAGCCAAGTCGCACTTATCTCAAATCAACAGACTGTCACGTATCTCACACAATAAATGATAATAAAGACATGAAAAAAACCCCATGAAATTGAATACCTGATATAAGGGACGTGCAGATATTTGGAAGCTGTTAATTAAAAAGTCTGGAACATGCAGACAACTCGGAGCAATACACTCCGAAATCAGAAACATTTGATAAATTAAAATTGTCTTGATGTTCATTATAAAAAAATTGAAATATAAATTGAAATTAATACCCTTTTCCTATGGAAGACCTATGTAAGGTGAAGATACTGTTATAATCTTAAGGTAGTCCCCATTATTTTTGTGATACCAATAGTGTTGTTTACCCGCCAGAGGTGTATAATATCATACTTAGAGTACAAACCTACAGGCAGATTTTGAGAAGAAAAAAGAAAAAGAAAAGATCAGTTAGCCCCATTCAATATTTTCATTGTAAATGAATATTTTCACAAATCCTGACCAGAAGTCGACTAGCCTTGGGTATTGGGAGGTAGAACTGTACACCCCTACATCCTCAAACTAGATTTTGAACAAAATCTGAAAATCCTGATGGCTGCCAGTAACAATCTTGGATTTGGTGAAAAGTCGCATTGTTTCTGTGTGATAAACCTTGAAAGAATGCTATGATTTTTATGTAACTTAAACACATGTCTATAATATAAGTATCAACAACCAGCATGAGTTTGATTTTGAACCAAATTTGAAAATCAGCATTGCTGTCCACAGGGCGCAGGTGACACATCCTCTTCCTGTTATTGTAAAGATTCATTGAGGGTTATGCATATCTTAATGTACAAGAACAACTTTGAGATTATTTTGATCAAATTGATCACAAAATTTCTTCTGAATATTTTGATAAAAAATTGAGCAGAAAAGCAAAGGAAAATGCCACCATATATAGATCTGCCTTCATTACAAATAAATGGTGTTGCTTTGTGGAACCACATTGAATGACATTGCACTGTTGCTTGTAGTAATCAATGTGTTGATCTGTATGTAATAGATATTTTTCTGTGTTGTTGTTTCTAGGGGTGGACGCAGATGCTGCACGGTCCGAAGAAGAGAATCAGATGTTGGCAGATGCTAACAAGTGGCTGAGTAACAAGTCCGTCAAAGAGAAGCGACACCCCAAGACCGGGGCCACCGCCCTTCATGTGGCATGCGCAAAAGGCTACATGAAGGTCATAAGGTCGGTTTAAATCTTGTCCCAGATATTTCACGGAAGAAACTCAATCTCAGACTTTCATTAACTTGCATTAATGTTAATCATTCAAAGATAATTTAAATCGGCTAGATCTGCTTCTTTCATTGGTCATATATATCTGTGGGGGTTTACAGTAGATATTGCTTCTGATACAGCCTCCGAACTGAAGTTAACTAGGAGTGTTCTAATGATGATGTCACACAAAAAAGTCCTACTAGAGTTGCTCCTGAATTTGTGTATGCTATAGAAATGAACAGTGGAAAGGAACATTGAAAAATTTGAGAATATGTTTATAATTGTCATTATATTACACTGCTTCATCCTGTGACCAGTAAAATCAGGAAAATAACTAGCTATGGTGTATATCTTGTTGACAACATTTTGCAACCCAAGTGTCTAAGTGGAAGTAACTATCCTAGATATAAATATATAAACGAATCTTATAATCATCACATCTATGTAGTTTCCATGTGTGATGACATTTGTCCGCAGTGTCCTGATGCAGGCTGGCTCCGACATAAACGCCAAGGACTGTGATGGCTGGACTCCACTGCACGCAGCTGCACACTGGGGACAGGAGGAGGCCTGCAAGGTCCTGGCTGAACACATGTGCGACATGGAAACCAAAAACAATGCTGTAAGTCCGGCAAACAATTCAGCCAGTATATTATTTAAATCTTATTTAACTCTTTTTATTCCCCACCCTTAAATTTAAGGCATATAGTGTTGCCCATGTCCGTCCCGTCCATTCCAGTCCCATCCCGTCAACCACTGAAACTAATTTCACATGGTGACAGGGGCATTCATGTCTTACAGACATTTTCTAGTTGTATCTATATATCGTACTTGCCAACTCTCCTTATTTTGGAGGGAGACTTTCGATTTTGGACCCTAAAATTGAACATTTTCAACCAGTGAATTTGCTTAACTATTCTTAATTTCTAAGATCTGCTGATTTCATCTGAAAGAACAGCTCAAAAGATGCAATTTAAAATCGTTTTTCCATAGGGTGTACATACAAACATTTTAATTTGGCTTTTAATTCTGGGCTCGCGTAATCTTCCCTATGGAAATTTCAAAAGGTTGGCAAGTATGATAGATATTGTGTGATGCTCTGGGAACCAGGGAGATAACTTAGCTGGTTTTTGTTGATGCCATATAACAGTGGGCTCATTGAAATTTTCGGTCGAACTTAAATGTTGTTCAATCCAAAGGCAAATATTGTGCCTTGGAATCTCTTTTGATGGTGAACTGGGGATGATGAACAGTTGAAAAAATGTTTTATTTCATCAACATGGAACCCGTTGTCTATAAGATACAATTAACAATTGGCATTATGAAGCACAGAAAAAAAGGTAAATAAAATATTCAAAAAGAGCTAAATAAAAAGGGGAAAGTTTTCATCTATATGCAGTAGAGGGACATTACACTCTGGCGTATATATTTGATATTTGAGATTCTACCCACAAGATTGGATATAATTCATGATAAATCATCAAGAGTTACATTTCTGGTTTATCCCATAGCCCATGTATTCAGGCTAGCTTTTTCTTGCGACCAAATGCATCATTCATGTCATTTAACTTCTTCAAATGTTAATTTCATGTCAGACAGGATGTCATATTGCAAATAGCAAAAATGTTCTATTCTAATGTCATGCCATATCAGGCTATTTCACATTATAAAATGATAAAAAATGAGCCATTGGGCGGAGTAATGAAACATTTAAGCAATCATTGCATAAAATTGTTTATTCTAGGAACTGTTTTAGAAAAAAGACGATCTTGATACTGTGTGGAGAATATGTTTGGTAAAGTAGGAACAATCGTTACAATGTGTTTCATTTTAAGCTATATTGACAGTGTGATTGTTGCCATTTTCAGGGCCAGTCAGCATTCGATGTGGCGGACTCAGAGATTATCAAGCTTCTGGAGGAACTGAAAACCAAACAAGCTACAGTAAGTCTCTGTGTTAGTGACATATCTGACCAGTACATTGTGAGATAATAACAAACACTCATTCACAGGAGTTGTGATCTATGTTTAGCTGACCCCCATCTTAAGTTTCAATATTTCCAGAAATTCTATCAAATTCCGACTTAACCCTTTCACCACTGTAGACCAGAATGAACTCATCCAGATAAATGTACGATAGAGTCTACTAAAGTTACCTAGGGGGGAAAGGGTTAAAGGCTGAGTAATGTATCCAGCTGGTTTGGCAGTGGGGTAAGGCACTTTAATTTATCATGGTGGTTTTGATATTGGTACAAACCCATTTATGTATCCAGATGGTTTGGATGTAGGATAAGGCTCATTAATGTATCCTGCTGGATGGAGATAGGGTAAGGCTTATTAATGTTTCCTGCTGGATGGAGGTAGGGTAAGGCTCATTTATGTACCCAGGTAGTTTGGAGGTAGGGTAAGGCTTATTAATGTATCCTGCTGGATGGAGGTAGGGTAAGACTCATTTATGTACCCAGGTGGTTTGGAGGTAGGGTAAGGCACATTTATGTATCCAGGTAGTTTGGGGATAGGGTAAGGCTCATTTATGTATCCTGCTGAATGGAGATAGGGTAAGGCTTATTAGTGTATCCTGCTGAATGGAGGTAGGGTAAGGCTCATTTATGTATCCAGGTGGTTTGGAGGTAGGGTAAGGCTCATTTATGTACCCAGGTGGTTTGGAGGTAGGGTAAGGCTCATTTATGTATCCAGGTAGTTTGGGGATAGGGTAAGGCTCATTTATGTATCCAGGTAGTTTGGAGGTAGGGTAAGGCTCATTTATGTATCCAGGTAGTTTGGAGGTAGGGTAAGGCTCATTTATGTATCCAGGTGGTTTGGAGGTAGGGTAAGGCTCATTTATGTATCCAGGTGGTTTGGAGGTAGAGTAAGACTAGTTAATTGTATACAGGTAGTTTGGAGGTAGGGTAAAGTTCATTTAAGTACACAGGTGGTTAGAAGGTGGTATAAGGCTCTTTTATTGTGTCCACATGGTTTGGAGGTAGGGTAAAGATCTTTAAAATATCCAGGCGGTTTGGAGGTAGGGTAAGACTCATAATTGTATCCAGGTAGTTAAGAATTACTCATTGAATATAGGTGATCTGTCAGTGATATTGGTCAATGAAACTGACATTACAACATGAATGTGGAATTCACAGTATATTGGAGACAAGCATAGGGACATTTGTTATCTGTTAATCTAACAGGTCAAGTAAAAATAAGGTGTATATGTTATAACAGTTGGATATTTAATGTTTTCATTGTCATCTAACCTTTATGCTTGATTTGTTTCAGTTGAAAGACACAGCAGATGTACAGAATGAGATCATTCAACACAGAGGTCAACATCAGAAGAGAAGGTACGACTTTCAACTTTGGCCTTTGACCTATGTTATTAGCAGACCGTTTGACCCAAGCCCCTGTGTAGGATTTTGATGTTAGGACCAATGTTATGTATTTGTGTATATTTTATATTTGCTGCATGTTAGAATGCATAGACAATATTTATATGAAGCAAAGTTGTCTCCCGTTATCTAGAGATATATTCAGGAAGCAAATGTAACATGCTTACAAGTTAAAAAAAAAAAGCAGTCATTAAAATATTTTAACCCATTCTCCCCGAAGACACATTTGTACCCTTCCAATTCAAAGGTTGGAATAGTTCATTACGAAATGTCAGGGGTGAATGAGTTAAGTTAAAATGTCTAGCAAAGTGTATCTTATTGTGGAATTGATGTAGGTTGATATTCTAGAGCATAACTGATTGAATAATTGTTGCTAACTTGTTTGTAAGGGGAGACAACCATTAACTAGTGTAACATTTGTCTGTGCTGGAATAGCCATAGTTGATTACTGTAACAATGGATAATACTGACATGTGATAAGTCTAATATGCTATATTCCACCTGTCATCTGTCCTGGTCAAAAATGGACCCGTAGTAAGTGTCCTTCGATTTTGACTGATTGCAGTGACAGGTTGAAGTAGAAAAAAAGTTGTAGACACAACTAGAACCAATTATTACTAGGCTTCCCTGTTGTAAATACTTATATTAAACAATTAATTTTTTAAATGAATGATTCTCCTGTGTGATAATTACTTTATTTGTCCCACAAGTCCTATATACTTTATCTCATATTTAGAATAATGAACGCCAAGACCAACTTTAAGTTTTATGCACTTCTCCCATCAGCCATCTTTCTCAGAAGTGTGTATTTTAAATATTGAAATTAATTTTGTTTGAATGAAATATGTTTAGAAATGGTTAGAAAAAGTTAATATATATTTGACAGTCTTGAGAATCATTCATGTGGTATGAAACCAGTATTGTAATTGACAAGCCTACTGACAAATATTTCTAAAGCATTGCACGTCCATGTTATAAGTTACTGCATATATGCATATTGTATATATTACTACTTCTTTAAATTGTGGACATCTCACAAATAATGTGTGGTTCTTGATACTTCGCAAAAGAATTGTTGAGAGATTTTCTACAGTAATGTGTGATAATGTTGTAGTTGTCCCCCTTAACAAACTCGGCCTAGAAATGTACTAACTTGCAAAAGCCTGTTGTTTATATAGCTGAGCATTTGACTATTGTGTTTTTTGACAGCCGGAGTGATTCCACCAGGTTAATTTTGTTTTTACTCTCACTACCTGTACACAGTGTTATTTGTGTAGCTAACAATGACCTGAATGCTGTGTACGGTCTAGCCTAACACATATATACTGACCTGTATACTGTATAGGCTAGCCTAACATACAATTTTATATACACTAACACGTACAGCACAAGAAATATGCTTCTCTTGTAACGGTAATGGAACACAGAGGTTTGGTTCACAAAAGGTCACATGATTTATAATTTAACTCATTCACCCCTACATATTTAAACTGGTCTTACCCACTCACTGATTTGGTAAGGTTCAAATGTGACTTTAGGGGTGAATGGGTTAAATCCTGAACATTTTTTAATCTGGATCTTACTGTATATTTGCTTTTGTCGTTTTCATGGTATCATGAAAATAGATCCATTGAAAAAGTTATGAATACACTTATGTCTCAATTTAAAAAAAAACGGCAGACCTCAAAATTATTTCAACGAAAAAGTATACATTTATATGTAAATCTTTGAAAGACAATACCTTCAAAAATTACATAACAATTTGTGGTTGGACCACAAGGCAACTTTGTTGTTTATTTGGTTATGGCTGAACTGATGCTTTACATAGCGAAAGTAATTATCGTTAAGATAATTTGTTGATATATACTGTGACCTTTACTGCCGTGGTAAATCTCTGTGTTCCAATACCATATCTGTTTTATGTAAGCCTGATGTCATCTTTAATGTGATGTTAAAAATCTACAATGTGGACTGCTGACCCTGTAGGGTCTACATACATTGGTGTAGACAGTGTTGGCTGAGGTCCGTAGACAGTAAATTTTGTTGTCTGCTAGGTACTTGCATCTGCTGTATAATGTAGACAGACTATATCAGCATGGCCGTTATATATATAGTGTAGACCTATGAAATTTGAAAATGCCTGTCGTAAATATTGCTGCTGGATAGGAACATGCTGAATGGTAGCAAAACTGATGTGTAGTCGCTATTGCTGGTAAATGCAGAATGGAAATGTTATTTTGTAACACTTCTGATATGGAGACTACATCCATCCATCACACTTTAGCTTTTGTGTGCTGGTCGCTTATAAAAAGAAGATGCTTATGATACTTTAAAAGGTCAAAGGTCATTATCACTGTTACTCTGAGTTGATTTGTATTGACTGAGTCTACAGTGCTGAAAAAGGTGATATTGACTGCATATGGAAGATTGTTGCTGGAGATTGCTTTTGGAGTCAGAGGTCAAAATTACTTTTTGTATGAATACATAGAGATATTCCACCATAATTTATGTTTATTTTAGCCTACATTGCTTCAAAATCATTAATAGACAGAGGATGAATTTGCAAAAAAATAAATAAAAAAAATATGCAAATAAATTTAGATACATTGAGTCCACATTAGTCATCAGCAAAAGTTATTATGTGATTAATACAATATCAGTGTTCTTACCAAAGGTATGTAGATAACTCTACCTATATATTAGATAGAACTTAAACTACTGGAAATGTGTGTCTGTTGCAATACATCTAATGTCTGTGTGTTGCTGTGTGTTAATCAAACAAATCATATTATGGTGTAGTCTTGTGTTATTGAACAGTGAAGGGTGTGATGCCTGACAGAGCTATGACCAGGTAGCTTCATTAATCTTGGCCTTACTATAGAGAAAAAAGGAAATGCAAGACATACTTTGAATGAAGGTTCTTGGTGATTTTCAAAATCAACCGATTCTTCTGATTTTTTTGGAAGTCAAAAATAAAATTTGAATATCTTAACATTTGGTTTAATTACTAAATTTTAATAAACTTAACAATCCTGTTTAAATGGAATGTGTTCTGCATCATGGCTATGGAGTTTCAGTGCTTGGATACCAGGTAAACCACAGGAAGTGAAGCCTGCACCTACACTTAAAAAAAAGCTTCCATGTGGGCAGTAATGCAGATAGAAATGATTATAGGGTAGTGTGTAAATTTGATTGACAAAATACAAAACTTGTTATCATTTTTCAATCATTTATCATTTTAATTGAATGTTGACAAATTTATTTTTCACTTCTTTGATGTTGGAAAAAGAATTTGAATGCTTTCTACCTATCAAAGTGTGATTTTTTGCCAAAAACCAGTTGAACTGATATCTTTTTTATGCAGCTGTTTGTATTTGACTGCTAGAGTTGCTTCCCTTCGATCAATAGTGATATGTGCTTGTATGCTGAGCTCCTGTAGACAGTGTGTGGACCTGTAGATGCTTAATTCCATCTCTAGATAATAATTTATCAGATTGATATCATTATTACCTGTCAGATATATAAAAATTAATTGTCAAAATGATTCTAAATTTGATGTTTAAAATCCAAGTATAGAGTTATGTCAGTTTTGTGCTCTTCGCTTGTGTACAATTTATCGACTTGGACATTGGCATCAGTAAATGGTCGCACTGTGCTATATATATTACACCACTGGTATATTATTGTTACTTACCCTAATAATCAAAACATAATACTTACATATTTCTTGTAAATGTATTTCCTATACAGTACGTAAATGTGCGTCAGTCATTGTGTATTGTTTTATTTATGTACGTCCAGTATCTATCTCTTTGTTGTTTACGAAGATAACAGGTAGCTGCACGGTACCGTTCTTTTATTTGTCAATTAGAAAATATTGTGTTAAATATTACGATTTAAATTTCTATTGTTTTTTAACAAGCTCTATTTAAAAGTTGGTAGAGGTATACTTTTATAAATTATCATCGATCGGCTTTATCCAATTTAGTTCTGATTCATCACAAGGGCTAGAGAACCTAAAATATACAAGTAACTGGACATTCTGTTCGTGCTGTAATATTTTTGTTTAGAGGTAGAAGTATGTTTTTATTGAACAGTCCTAATAGATGATAGGTAGGTGATCTTTCTGTTCTTAATCAAATTACAAATGAATGCCACATAATAGAAACAGTAAACCATAGGAATAATTACATCAGGATTTCCTGACGTGGAGTAAATATGACAAGGGAAAAGTCGCCAGTTAAAATGAGCTTGATTTATAATACATGTAACATCGCAAGAAGGGAAACTGCTAGTTTTGTACATACAACCAAGGTAAATAGTGTGACTCATGCAATACACCGACTACTTACCGCTAATTTAACATTTATGGTGTCTCGGCTTACAGCAGATTGTCATGGTTGTAGAAAAAGTCATCAACTTGTTTAATATTTAGTTCTCAGGGTTTAGTGTGTGCAAAAATACAGTCATTTCACCTGTGTCATTCAACTGCAGGAATGTGATAGGTCTTTATTGCTGTAGTTGGAGACATTTATATATATGTGATCTGTATTCAAGCTGGCATGCTGTCTCTTTTAAATGTGTATTTTTGTTTAATTGGTTTCTTGTGTAATCAACCTTTGGTCTGATCCTATCCTTACACCTTGATATACTCTCCTTTTCATGTTATCTGACAATCCTGCATTCCGTCAATATCTTTTTCCGTACTATTATTATCAAAACTGGAATAACATGTTAAATGCTGTCTTGCAGTGTATTGTAAACACATTAACTCATTCACCCCTGAAATTTCATAATGGACTATTCCAACCTTTGCATTGGAAGAGATCAAATGGGACTTTAGGGGTGAATGGTTTAAGTTTGAATAGCATTCACTGCAATTATGTTTTACATGTAAACTGACCTCTTTTTAACTACTCAACTTTAACATCTAATTGGGAAGTTAAAATCTTGTGAAGAAAAACTAATTAAAATTCCAACGCCTTGAACAATTTTCTACTGAAGAAATTCTTGTTTGACCAGGATTTCTTCACGACTTAAATTAATTTTAAATATGATGTTATTTAGATTTTAGACTTTCTGTATTAATACATACTGATTTGAATTAATATGACATTGGCAGTATCTGACAGGAAGTTGTTCACATGATACAACGACCTCGGATAGAAATAGTTTCCTGGTGTAATTGGTATGCCCACAGCTGTCAAATGATCGAACATTCTTTACATATTTTCAATATTTGATTTCATAGTTTAAATATGGTAACAGGTAAACAAAATATCAAACAATTCATGCAAGGATATGTAGATACCAACAGAGTTATACATGTAATGGATAGAGAGTGGTTTTAGATATCATTTGTACATTTGAGAAAACAAACCTTTACTCTTCTGTTAAGCTTTTTGAAATGTCAAAGTTCAGACATATGTTTTGGATTCTATTATAAATTTTCATTCAGTTAAAATTTAAGTCAGAATTTTGAAATTTCTGTCTGTCAGTGTAAATAAGAAAAGGTAACATTTAACTGCCAAATAAGTCATAATGGGCCAATTTTAGCAGAACATCTGTCTGGTGAACGGAGATGAAAAGAACATGTGTGGTGTTTGTAGTTTTGCCTAGTAATATAAGAAGACTATTGAGGGATAAAAGGGTTTGAGGATAATGTGCAGTTGTATTGTGATAGGTATACAGGAATTTTACATTGATGTGTTGTATCTATGCGTGTTAATTTCGTTTGTGCATGTGGCTATCCTTTACAGGCCTAAACACAGTTCTGTGTTTTGGAAATTTGATCATTCTTAGCAACTGGCAAATCTTGTCTTTCTTTTTTTACAAAAATGCCCCCAAAACATCTAACAAATAAGCCATTGGATAAAATTATTCTCATTTTGAGCCTTGGAATATTGTAAGTCTCATGATCATAGTGGCATAGAGGGAATACAGACAGGAAGATTGAAAAAGTTATATAAGTTACAGCTTCCAGAAAAGGATCCATTAAGTGTTTTTCTGTGGAATCATCATTCACTATGTGATGTGTGTTGGAAGTCAGGTCAGAGCTTCCTCGATCTCTATAATACTGTTCATGTCCCGCAGAAGGAAGTTGTACACACCATATTGTTTCTTACATATAGGTAGGCCAGGTGTCACAGGTAAAACGTCTGAGGTACAAACGACTTCCCCGATTAAAGCATTGTTCCACTTGAGCGACTTGATTGAAATCTAAAAATTACAATCAGCCACGGTTGCTTCACACTGGCCCCAGTCTAGAAAGCCTCGGATCAACCAAGCTTTTGTTGTTTTTTACCAGTGACGGATTAGAAGTGTTGTGTGCAAACATTTATAGTGTACAATACAGACGCCAAGTAATACCTGTCATCAACCAGTTTGGTTATTGGAAAAAACACACATGTATCAATATACATTTTGAGCGAGAGATGACATGTGACCTAGAAGGGAATTGATGTCGTATTGCAGTTGATTCATAGGAGTGACAATTCAAACTCACATCTGTGAGGAAGCTGTCACAACTTGTCACTAGTGTTGTAGTGGATACAGTCTTACTTATGAATATGAAATTGTGCTTACTCAGCTAGAGAGGAAATCTTAGCAAAGGTGCTTCAGTTGCAAGGACATACCTGCTCTAAGCTGTTATGACACGTACATCAGACGGATGGTTTCATTAAGAAATATACTTCAAGTAGTCGAAGAACATGAATGATAGTTAATGTGTGTTACAAAGGGTTTTGAAATACTTTTTTTAAAGATTTTAAGATAATTTCTTTCAAAGGGACGTAACTCACTGGTGAATGACCCACTCCAGAATATCGGTGGATATAGCTGTGAGGAGTTACACCAGTACATCTTTACTTGTATCTACCTGTAGGTCGCGAGGTCATTCAAAGAAGAGATGCTAGTGTATGTAGGCTTGGAGGAAGCCTGAGGACAGGTGAAAAAAATAATTAACAAAAGTGTGTAGGTGAATGCAGGTGACAGCACAGGTAGATACTTGAGGCTGAAATGTGTCGACCTACCAGGTAGATGCTAGAAAATAGTGCAGAAACTGTAGAATTTTCTGTTGGAATCGTTATTAAATACAGATATATGTTCAAAGGTCAAGGTCAAGTGAATTTAAGTAGACTTGCAAAAGTTTCTATTTAAAAGTGATTCAAAGGTGATTTTTGAAGGTCAGAGTCATATTGAAAACTGACGTTAGAAGTGGTTGTTGTATAAACACCAGCAGTCAAGGTCATTACAGTGTCAAGTCTGGATCAGAAAATGTTTCCGTTGTCTGGGAGATTTGGAGTTTGTATCTGGAGCTACATGTGACTTGAGAAGGCATCAGTGAAGATCTGATAGGTGTACGTCTGTCTGTGTTACCTGGTGAATACCTGTGTAGATCTACAACACAGACCTGTGCAAATACAGATATGGGGTGTGCAAGGTAGGCTGTTAATACAAGGCAAGTATTATTATCGATCTTCAAATTCTGAACTGGATATATGATATTGGAATGATAAGAAACACATTGATAAGACTTAAATATGACTGCGAGCTGATAATCAGGCATCAGCATATTCTGTGCTTAAAATAGTAGCTGTGATTCATATTTTTGACAGTTTTTAATTTGAATTTAGATTAAAAGAAAAGTATGATAATATTTACACAGACAGTACACATAAGTAAATGCATGAGATGCACACCTAAACACATGTATGTCAGGTATCGCTCACCACAATTAATCTGTACACATGTGAGTGTGCATAAATATGTCGGTACATTGTTGTTGGTGAAAGCCCTCTTACTCATCGTGTTGGGAAGTGAGTAATCTATCGAAAATGTTGAAGTTTCCACCTAAGTTTTGGAGTCCCCTCCTGTAATGACATGACATGTGCACACTTATATAAAGTGTATGCTTGCTGGGATAAAGCTACAACACAGTGTTAAGAAAAGTTGATGATTCATGTGGCAGGATGGGCCTCATTGAAAAAGAAGGTAATTTAAAATTGTGGATAGTTGCAATAAATATTTGACTATTTTCCACCGGTCACTTGGTTAAAGCTAGTGACTTCTTTTTTTTTTCATTTTTTTTCTTGTAAGTCAGGTTTGAATGTTTTCTACCACCTCACTCATACCAAACTTGTGGAATAAGTTGAACTGCTGTTTTGTTGAAATTGCTTTTGGCGAAATCTTGTTGTGCATTATGTATTGTTGCTTGGGTTTGTTGTATTAATGTATTTGTGTAATGTTGGCTTTTTTGTGGCATTTTGATGTGAAAGTTCATAAATCATATATTAGCGTTTCATTGTATATAGATTGTGACATGCTGTTATCAATATTGTTGACATGGAAATGTACATATTGTTGACATGGTTTTTATTCTTCTTTCTATTGTGTAACTATCCAGGCCAGTGACCACAACAATAACAAATCTTGACCAACCAGACAATGACCCCAGGTATATGTACGGGGAATGCCTTATTTCCACACCTAAGTTGACCTGACAGCACCACTAAGCTTCTCCCGTATCAACCCCTGCATATTCCGGCTGACAGAGGCTATGAGCTCTGAAGTCTAACATTCCACCATTCTTACAAATACCCTTTCCCCTGTCTTGTTTTATGGATTTGATGGAATCACTGTCTGAATTATGTTTTCTGTGAGGTCAGTGGGGACAAAAACTCTTTTTTAGGGGAAGCTGAACTTGTTTGATTGGAAGTTATGACTTGTTCATTTGGAAGATTCGACTTGTTCAGTTGGAGGCTTGTAACTTGTTCAATGGGAAGTTTGTTACATGCTCAATATGAAGCTTGTAACCTGTTCAATTGGAAGTTTGTTACATGCTCAATATGAAGCTTGTAACCTGTTCAATGGGAAGTTTGTTACATGCTCAATATGAAGCTTGTGACTTGTTTAAATGGAAGTTTTGACATGTTCATTTTGAAAGCTTGTAACATATTCAACGGGTATCTTACGACTGGTTAAATGGAAATATTGTGTTTTGTTAAGAGGGGAGCTTGTGACTTGTTTAAAAGCTTGTGACCTGTTAAATGGGAAGCTTGTGACTTGTTACCATCTCATATACAAGAGGAAAATACTTTGTCAAGATTGAAGTGTCTTCATTATGTTGTTAGGCTCAAGACATTTCTATGCTGAAAAATAAATTACTGAATCAGAACTGGACTTCTAGTATATCTAAGGAATGAATTGTCACTATAGATTAAAAGAAAATAGAGAAGACAATTTTGTTTGGTAGTGGAGACTCCTGTAGGAACTAGACTATGTGAGTGGTAAAGGGCACCATGGCTACTAATTGGGCTGGCATGATGTTTATGGAAGTCTGGTAGAGCTCTGTGAATGGAAATTATTTTTTAATTAATAAAATTGGTGACTAGAGAGATATACTTGCAAATTATGAAAATGCCGCGCGCGATGGTAGGAAATGTTTAGCTGTACACTAAGGTTGGTGGTAGATAGTAAGACAAGTAAAGTATGTTTAGCTGAAGTGGAGATCTCATCAAAGGACATGTTTAGCTGTGTATGAGGTCTAGGTTTGGTGGAAGGGTCGTTGTGTGTGTGCTGTTCAGACAGTGATAGCGCTCTGTTTCCTGTGAATATCTTATTTTCAGTCTGTTGTGATGACCTGTTTTTGCTGTTGCCTACATCCAGTAGTGTTTTTATTTCAGTTTCAGTACTTCTTATGTTGCAGTGCTAAGAATCAGCTGATTATACATTCATGTTTATTTTAGCATGCAAATAAATAGTGTTTTTTGTTTGTTTTTCTAAAAATAATCATGCACTATAACTTTTTAGTAAAAAGCATGAATCACTTTTGCATTCCTATGTACTGAATATGAATCATTCAAAACATGTTTGAAATTCATTGAACACAGAGAATAAATATGGTTGTATATGACGGGGAACCAAGCTACATACCCTTATGTATGTCTTTGTAAAATATCTGAAATTTCTATATCAGAGATAAACAAAAAATAGTTAAGTACAAATAGTTCAATTTGAATGATAATTAAACTGATTTAAATCGCTTTTACAACTGAGCACCGTTTTGTTGTGTAGGGTCTATTTGCATATTTGAATATTAGCAGTTCAGATCAACTGAAAACCTGAAGTGAAAGAAGAAAAATTGAATGATTGTAATTAATCAGAATATATCTGGCGGTCTTGTACCGGGGAAAGTCTTTGGATCATTGGCAATAAACCTGTCAGTTTTGTTTTATGGGAGGACTCCTGAAGGATAGAGAACTGGGATACTACTGTATTTTACCACCAATAAGCCCCCTTTGTAAATAAGCCCCCTCTTGTAAATGAGCCCCCTCCCCACTTTGGTAAATGTCCTGGGAACAGGGTGGGTGCCTGCAATTAAGCCCCCTCCCTAATTTTGCCTCCATCTCAAAAAAGAAGGTATGTCAATTTTTGTCTCTGACATAAGCAAATTAGCTAAATGGGTTTAAAACAACATAAACACAAGTTAAAATACTACAAATAACTTTGTTTCTGAATTAGGCACAATAGTAAATAGCATGTAGTGACATGTACTCTTTACTGAATACTGTGATTCTGTGGGTTTTTTTGGTTTTTTTTAAAAGAATTGCGTATTCATGAGTGAATTAAAGATGAATATTATAACACATGATTATGGAATATGATGTTAACATAACAAAATATCAGATATCTATATGGTTAAACTTAAAACAAAACATCGTTCTGTTGCTGAAAGAACATGTTGCTTTCGTTTTTTAACCGGTTGTGTATTTTGCAGATTTCAATGTAAAACGAAACATGTTACTTGTACAAAATCCATTATATCTATAGTCTGTACTGAAGTAGCAAATTATGAATACATTTTAAAATACATTTATGAGTTGTAACAGAAAGGTATAATCGTTTTTAAATTGATAATTTTTTTCTTATCAAATCTCTCTGTCAAGGTCAGTTCGTTCATATTGCCATTCTGAAATTTGTATCAACCAATACAGTGTCAACAAAGAGCATGGCTTCCAGCTGAATCAAATACATCGTTTTTGGAAGACTTTTATCCATAAAAACATGTCTCTTGCTCATAATGCTTGCAACCTGCATACAAATAAGTTGTTGTGTTGTTTTTGTATGATTAAGACAATGGTTTTGTGTGAATTAAGCCTTGTATACTTGAAATTTCTTCGGAGCGGCTTATTGGCGGTAAAATACTGTAGTAGATGGAGACATCCACTGTCATCCCAAACCCTGTACCATGATAGTGTTCTGTAGTTATTCCTGGTGTAGGACAGATATGTCTTGTAGCAGTGTATTTTTTACCTAGAAATTGCAACAGCCTGTTCCTTCTTGAATTGGGGAAAATACAGTATCATTTTTATTAAAACTGGGAAGATGCATCTTGTTTTTCTTCCTTTTGGAAAATAAAGCACCTTTTATTGATAGGGGAAGCAGCCTATATTTGAGTGTAAAACTATGCAAAACAAATATAACTGAAACATACTGGTACATAATTGCTCCATTAATTTACACTCACAAATAGACGGTATTTAAAAGACAGAGACATTATTTAGAAAGGTTGTGATTGTTAAAAAGCCGGTATTTAGAAAGGTTGTGATTGTTAAATAGACGATATTTAGAGAGGTTGTGATTGTTAAATAGACGATATTTAAAAGACAGATGGTATTTAGAAAGATTGTTATTGTTAAATAGACGGTATGTAGAAAGGTTGTGATTGTTAAATAAACGATATTTAAAAGACAGATGGTATTTAGAAAGGTTGTGATTGTTAAATAGACAGTATTTAAAAGACAGATGGTATTTAGAAAGGTTGTGATTGTTAAATAGACAGTATTCAGAAAGGTTGTGATTGTTAAATAGACAGTATTTAGAAAGGTTGTGATTGTTAAATAGACAGTATTTAGAGAGGTTGTGATTGTTAAATAGACAGTATTTAAAAGACAGAGACGGTATTTAGAAAGGTTGTGATTGTAAAATAGACGGTATTTAAAAGACAGAGACNTGTTAAATAGACGGTATTTAAAAGACAGAGACGATATTTAGAAAGGTTGTGATTGTTAAATAGACAGTATTTAGAAAGGTTGTGATTGTTAAAATGGATTGCTTATTAGGGACATGTTCATGTTAAACTGCTATGGAAATTTTATTTCATTGAACATGAAATCAGAGACAAGGAAAGCATTATTAGGAAAGCATTAAAAGGAAAGCATTATACACTTGTCAGATGAATGCTTGGATAAGTTGATAAATGCATTGATAAAAAAACTAAAGATTGATGAGGAAGTTTTTTGTAAGCTTTTCCTGCTGAACATATTTTATAAGATGCATAGCATAATAAATTGTGTAGGGAGGGTCATGGTAGATCAGGGCTCTGAGTAGTATAGGATCAAGCATTGCCTGATATTTTTTGCGGTAGAATTTTCATTTCTTGAATTTTCATTTCTTGAGCTATTGTCCTGTACTTCTATTTCTCATTATATTTAGAATATATCTTAACGGCATACACATTTTTTGTTGTTGATATTTTCAATTTTAACACATATCTTTAAGTGAAAAACATTTTTTTTTTTGGACAAGTGAAATATTGTTTTTATTAATGTTTATTAATTGTAACATTGAAATGAATTACTGTCCTAGAACGTAGATGAAGTTTTTATTATGATCCAAACAAATTACATAATTTATTTGAGTAAGTGAAACTTATGTCAATGAATAGAAGGTGGCTGCAACCTTAGTACTGGTACAAAGAACAAATTCTTAAGTCGCTTGGGTGAAAAATTGGACTGTGTTTAATTTTGCTCTTGCTACCATCCACAGGAGTTCTGTGACACGCATGAGTGGGGACCAGAAACAGAGCGTGACGTTGAAGACCAAAGAAAGAGGAGACCCCAACCTCATCCACCAGACAACACCCGAAAGTGTGGTCGAAAAGGACCCCACAGGCAAGACCGGCTCTAGTTCAGAGGGCGAGGGTGAAGAGTCGTCAGAATCTGAGACAGGTAAAAACACTACAGGTAATAATAAAAAATAACAGGGGAGAAAAAAGTGATTTGGTTTTGGCATGAGTAAAAAAATAATACAAGATCAAGTAGGATGCTCTTAAGAAAATATTAGAAATAAAAGTGAAAAATGATCACAGGTAATCATGTTACTTAAAGTAAAATATTGGTAAGATGTGCAATACACAACCATCAATATAGATTCTACTAACAGAGCAACAAAACAGGATCAGACACATATCACTGGGTAGTTTTGAGTAATAAATCTATGTTTGATGTAAATATACAGGAATATTTCAAAGCTGAATAGTCAAATCTGTGTCATACCCTCACATAAGGATCTGAGGTAGCCCTGTTTACATTCATGTCGGGGCTAGCCTCACATTTACCAATCAAATCATTAGTTTCTGACTGAAGCTTGGGTAACTTCATGAATAAATTAGAACCTCTCGGCCAGTTGCAGAGCATTGTAATATTTGCCACATTGTGGTACACGGTCTATATATCATCTTGTATTGTCTTTTGGAATGCATTCATTAGGTGACCTGTTTAAGAGGTACTTCAAAATCTTGTACCGGTCAGCCTCTATATTTTCTGATACAGAGGCATTCACACTTTATTTTGTCGAATGAGCCAATTCATCAATAAAAGAACCACTTATGCCGATGGTTTCTCAAACATTTCTTAGCATCAGTTAGATTTGCAGAATTGATGAAAACTACAAATATTGCAAAGTGTCAAATATATTTTATATGTTTTTAATTTATTTTCTTCAGAAAAACAAAATGCAATCAACAACCAAACCTCAGGTGTCAAACAGGTGAGTTATCCAGGTGACCTGGTCTGGTACAGCAACATGCTGACCAATCAGATCACAAAACTCATCTCACATGACAACTTTAGCATTTTTCATATTTTCTTAAATCTGTGTCAATCAAATATATTTGTTGGAGCAGCTCTTTTGGTTTTAAGATGTTTAATGTCTAAAAGACACCTTTTTTTTAAATTTCTTGCGTAGAAACAATATATAATACACACAAAAAAAGATATGATCAAAATTGAAGCAAATTTCTTTGATGCAAAACTTAAAGTGCTGCTCTAAAGAATGTACATGGTTAATGCAAAAATGTATAGGATGCTTACTTTGTCACAATGGTTGAAACACAGATTAGAAAATGCTTGCACTAGCTTTAAAAGGTCTTTGTCATAACATGTTAAATGTTGCACTGGTAAGTTCCCCTAAAACACTAGAAAGTTTGAACATTATAAACAAATTTAGTTATTTAGCAAAGCTTGAACTTTCCCTAGTTTGATATGTAGAAACATATATCTACATTTCCCTGCTAAACAATACATGTTTTGCTGTTGTAAATGTATATCCTGTAATTACCTGTCTTCAAACTAGATCTTTTGGTAGTACTAAATTTGGCAAACTTTTTTGAGAGCTGATCTAGGTATAATGATGAAAGGTCATGTTCTTGTGACCAGAAATCAACTAATCAATCTTAATATGCTAGTGATCAAGCAAACAAGGTCAACTGAGCTTGATATTCTGTCTGGAATAGCAAACAAGGTCAGCTAACTTGATGTTTACTAGGAATAGCAAACTAGGTCAGCTAACTTGATGTTCTATTTGGAATAGCAAACTAGGTCAACTGAACAGGAATATCATACTAGGTCAACTGAGCTTGATGTTCTGTCGGGAATAGCAAACTAGGTCAGCTAACTTGATGTTCTATTAGCACTAGCAAACTAGATCAGCTAACTTGATGTTCTATTAGCACTAGCAAACTAGGTCAGCTAACTTGATGTTCTATTAGGAATAGCAAACTAAGTCAACTGAACTTCATGTTCGATCTGGAATAGCAAACTAGGTCAACTGAACAGGAATAGCAAACTAGGTCAACTGAACTTGATATTCTATCTGGAATAGACAACTAGGTCAACTGAGCTTGATGTTCTGTCAGGAATAGCAAACTAGGCCAACTGAACTTGATGTCCTATCATGAGTAGCAAGATCACCAGTGTTTGAGAAAAGTTTACTTCATGTTGCTTAGCATAAGATCCAATTTAAACTGATTGTTTTTCCCTGTCAGAACCTTTTGTCATCTTCCCTTTGTTAAATGTGTCACATATTTAAATCATACACAATAAAGTTGATATGTGTTGATTTTTTTTTTTGCGCAAAAATTATTCATCTGTATTTATGTATTTTTAGCACCAAATGTCAGCACTGGGTTTTGTGTATCTTTTTATTTATTTATTTTGCACAATTCAGTGCACAGATATCTGAGGGATAACCCATGGTTAATAAGTTTGGTCCTTCTCTCACCCCCTTCATAGACATTGTAACGATGTGAATATAGCACTTGTGTTTTGTGTTGATTGTGGCTTTGCTTTCTTTCCATTGCTTGACACGAAAGGTCCACGATATACCTAGCACTACTACTGTTGAAATCCAGAAACCTGAAATGCCTAAAATCGATGAAAAAGGCGAATTGGGACAAATTTCAAATGACCTTGATACTCAAAATGAGGCTGATAAGGTGGAAATAAGTATCAAGGACCAGGTGCCCCGAATTGAGCGAATAGGAGATGGTGATAATCAGCTGACTGTAAGTAACCAATCAGGTTGCCCCAGTATTAGTTCTCACTGTTCGTCTATTTGCAGTAGGTTGACCATCTACTTCGGATTAGAGTTCCTGATATGAATTGGGGGGAAATCATTCATGTGTGCTATATTGTAATATGTGTATGTTTTGTTTCTGTTTACTGTAACAACATATCATGTACAGCAGACTTTGAGATATTTGTGGACAATTATTTTTGGTGGATTCTCTTTTTTAAAAAGAACACTAAAGAAGCCATTTTCCCAAAGGGTTGGGAGTGCAATTTTTTTCATGCATTTTTCTGAATGGAGAGGAGGGAAACATTTCAGGTATTTTCCAAATAGGGAGGAAGTCAACATTTCGGGTATTTTCCTAATGGGGAAGAGGGCAACATCACTAATGGGATGGGGAGTCTTAAGAAAGTGGAATAAAGAGGCATTTTATAGATGAAAAGTTATCATCACAATGAAGTATTCTTACAGTAGCTCTTGTTTTAATAGAATATGGGTTTTAGAGGTATCTGATTGTGAAGATTATATTATTTGACAAAGTTCGGAAGTACAGTAAATAAAACAAGTGTTTCTGTTTGATACCAGGGCAGAGACAGCATTGTGTTATCTTTTCGTATTGCAGACTTGTCTGCCCATGTGAGCATGTATTGATTGTTACATCATTTGTTTGTGAGAGTAACGTTGCAATTTTTGAGAAAACGACGTAATTTTCTCACGCAAACCAATGACGTAACAATCAAAACCTGCTCACAAGAGGAGATAACTCTGCAATACGCAAAGACGGAAAAGTCTATAGGAGTATTGATCACTTCACAAAATCTCAAAAATCTGCTCATTCATGATAGTTCATTTCATTTCATTCTTGCAAAATTTTATTTCAAAAACTTTTGTCTCCATGTTTTTGTCTCTTGTGTATTACCTAACTATTTGTTTTCTTTACAATATTGTACCTATATAACACCAGTCAATATATTAGATAGCTGTTTCAATTTATTAGTGATATACTCATATGCTAGAATGATTCATGTTTATATATTGGTGACATATTTATATAGTTTTAGTTGAAAACAAAATAAATGATGATTAACTCATTCACCCCTGAAGACACATTTGAACTCTTCCAATTCAAAGGTAGTTCATTATAAAGTTTCAGGGGTGAGTGAGTTGAGTTAGACTACCTGACTAGAGTAGCCTCCCCTATCTTACTGTTGCTGGCTTCATTGCCTGCTTTCCGATTCCTGCTATCATTGGCATGCTTTCCTCCTGCTCATAACAGACCCATGAGGGTAGTGATGCTGTTCATGATGAGGGCTGCATGGGTGTCGAGCAGGTTTACTCACAAATACTTCTTATGGGAAAATAGTGGGAGATCTAGTCGAGTGAAGATCATCAGAATAATCTACAATTTGATTTGAATGAAGATGGAGTAGGGGAGATAACTACTGGAGTTTCTATTGCATGCAAGTATTATAATATAACATTGAAACTTGATACAAAGATTACAAGTAGTAGTTACCGAAGTTGGTATCAGACAGGTGTAAAGTTTATTGTGTACAAAACGGGAATATTTTATACTGTGTTGAAGAAAGGGTAGGGCATATTTTAAAACAGGAATAGTTTATGCCGCGTATAGGTCAGTAGTAGTTGAGGCAGGGATAAGGTTAATTATATAGATGGGAGTAGGGGTACCCTGTTGTGATGGATCCTAAAACAATACGAAACAAATCTGAAGTATTGTAATGGTGTTATTTACTGAATGGATTATATAATTAGTATACTATCGAAACCAAACCTGTGTTATCCCAATATCTATGACCATTGAAAACAACAGAACTTGTAGGGATATGAGAAAATAGAAAGAGTCTTACCACCCTCTCCTGATATAGATAAGGGTTCTTACTTGCTTTGCTTGCAAACTTATCCCAAGGCCAAAGAGAAAGAACAGGACAAGGTGGAAAAGGAAAGTGATGAAAAGAATGAGGAAATGAAGGAATCTGAGGAGAAAGAGGTAGCTCCTTCCCCTCCTCCCAAGGACGAAGGTCCAGATAAGGGCATGGCTCCGCGGCGAGAGCCAATCTCCAGGTCCATAAGTGCCCCTGAACCTCCCCTGCCAGCTCAGGAACAGGTAGGGTTTCAGGGGCAGATAACTGTTGTGATTCTGACATTTGGAGGGCTTCTGTCGCTAGTTACTAGGAGAATCTAAAGTGAGCTACAACTAACAGCATGTACCATGTCTAGATCTATTTATATACGTGTAGGATTTTATATATTCTTACCACATGCTTTGTTGGTTTGTTTTCATTGTCAGATGTCATCATTTCTACCATTTGACTTTTACATAGCAATCAGCACTGTTCACTACTAAATGCTTTGTCAGCACTGGTACACTAGACATACTGACCACATCCATTTCGAAGCTTCCTTAATGTGACGCAATTAAACATGGAATAAAAAACATCAAGAATTTTGTATAAATTGAATATTATATTATTGACTATAAATGTTAGTGATTCGTAATATGTTTGGACATGCAAGATTATGTCGGTTAAATCAAGCTTTGATATGCACTTATAAAAATGTTTTTAAATCTGTCATTCTAGTAAAAAACAAATGAGTATGAAAACAGTATGTGCCCATATTTATATTACAAAGGTGTCCATTGACAAAGTTAATATTTCTCAAACATATTACGTCTTTGATACTAAACAAGTCTATTCACGAACCTTATCATATACAGTTCTCCCTTCTCCTGCACTTGGTTTTTATTGAGCTCATTTGCTCAGATTCACCATCATTTACACTTAGCCTGTGATTCTATCATAACATTTTCATCACAATTGTCTTATTTTATCCAATGTTTTTATATTCATTGACTTCCTATGTTCATTGACAAAGAAGTATTCTAGAAATTATCATTTACTTTTTCAATTGAAGATTTTATCATAATAGAATGAAATGAACCTTTAAAATAAAAACACATGCAGAAATCATGAATTATGAAAGTTTGCGTTGTGCTGTTGACATCAGCTATTTTGCTATTGATGGCGTAGAGGCTGCTGTTGCCCTCAACATAAAGCTTTTGTACATTCCTAGAATACTTTTTTGTTTTTTCTTTCCTTTTACGTTTTATTGATGTGTGATACCCTTTGTGTTTTGGTGGTAAATTTGATTGTAGCTGGAGTAAAGTTTTGTCCTGTTTTCAAGAGAAACATACCAAAATTAGATTTAACTATCCGGGATGAAAAGTCTGTTTTTCCTTCCTTTATCCGATTGTCATGTAAATATTATGTAATGATTGAGAATAATTTGCTAGGGAAAATTTGGCAGAAAATAATCAAGAGCTATAATTATGATATTATAACAAATGACTCAAAAAGTGGCATAAACCCTTTCACCCCTATGTAACTTTAGCAGAATCTTCCATGCATTGATCTGGATGAGTCCAGTATGGTCTACAGTGGTGAAAGGGTTAAAAAAAGAAAATAAAAAATGACCAAATCGGTTCCTAAAAAAATGAATTCAACCTTTCAGAAAAATAACTATTAAAGTTTCTTCACAGCCTACATTGTTATGAAATTTGAAGCGTGTGCATGTTTAACTGAAAGCAGGACAGAAGTATGTTGATTTGTTTGTGTTGATTATTGACTGGCCGGTGTGTTGACCTCCATGCATGCTGTACTACAGGTGCCCCTTCCTAACGAGATCAGTAAACCCACCAACCCCAAGGAGGTGCCGTCCTGGCGTGCAGGGCTTAGGAAGACCGGCAGTACAAGTCAAGTGACGGGCTCAGTTATGTCAAAAGAGAAAGACACTGACAAATCATTAGCTCGGTCTGCATCCAGTCCTCGACTCGACAACAACCAGGTACCCAAATGGAGGCTTCGCAATCATGAATATGGTTTATGGAAGTCTACGTTATTACTTTCCAGAAAAATCTTGTTTAATTCAAAAAAATGTCCACCTATTCCAACGTGCATGGCTGCATGCTTCAAATTTGATTTACAGTTTCAGTAGACATAAAAATTAAGAGCAAACCTTTTCAATAAAGGTATTTTGACCATCAAAAGTGATGAATTTTAATATGTTTTATATTTGTATTAAATGATTAAGTTAATGTATTTTCAAAAAAATATAATAAAAAATAAATAAATATACAAGTTTAATGAAAAAGTAGTAATTGATCTTATGTTACTTTCTCCTATGTAAATGCCAGACTAGTAAGTTACCAAGTAAGATAAGTCCTGTTGATACCCTAGTTACTGCCATGTTGTTTTATAGCATGTTGTATTGTTGTGTTATCTGGATTGGCCCACCTCTCCCTCATTCAATCATTCATTCATGCTACTATCCCTTCATGTGGTCAGTTCTGTCGGAAATATGTGTACAAAAATGTCAGATGATGATTTAGAAGTTGAGGCCAATTTTATATCGTACCAGAGAATAATTTGTTACTAAGTTGATGCATCAGCATTAGTAAAGTCTGACATAGTCACGCATAAATGTAATGAATGTGAATATACTCTTGAAGTTCTGATTCAGATTTCCAGCTGAAGGTAGCTGGGTAACTTATAGGGAAACAGGCTGCTAAAATTTAACATTATATATAGTACCTTGTGTTAATATATAGGTCTGATCTAGAGTAATTTGTTATAGTCAAACTTAATCATGTCAGAAGTTTTCAAACAGGTGTAACAGGGTATTATAAACAGGTTATCAGAAGTTGTTAAGATGGAGATAAGCAATTTTCGACACATTTTAATTTGTAATACCAAATTTTGACCATTTATAAACTGATGACATGTATGTGTAGGATTTCTTAGCAATAGATCAGTAAATATTGATCAGGCTTGAATTGTAGGCACAACACATGTAAATTTTTACATATTTGCCTGGTATTTTGAAATAAAATGAGTGCGCTCAAAGTCACAAGATTATGGAAGTTGTATGAATACATGCATATTGGTCAGTCGTGCACGGACTTTCCTAGGGGATGTTACAAACAGAAAGTAGGGGACTTGCATCTAGATGTTTCTCAACATCTACACTTTGATCATTTTAGTATAATGTCTTACTTCTGTCCTCTTACACTGTTTAACATTCTTATGTGATTTTGCAGGATAAGACCGGAAACAAAGTGTCATTCCCTCCCTCGTCTATATCAGAGACCCCCGACTCCCGCTCCACTGACAGGTATGGTATTGACAGATTTGTGATATGCTTATGTTAGCTCAATTTATTTGCAGGAAGAATGATGTATACATTTCCACAGAAATTACACTTATATACAACTGAATAATTGAGCCTAGATTTGATAAAGGAAACCAGAGATATACAATATAGCCATAAATTTATGGTGAACAACAGCTCAAGTTTAATCGGCTCAAAGACGCTTAGCTTGTAACTGCCCAGGTAAAGATCATTCTGTTCAAAGCTCAGTGTAACTCAGCTCAAGGTCATTCAGCTTGAAGCTCAGCTAAGGTTACACAGGTAAAGATCACTCCAGTCAGTGTCCCTTGGCTTAAAGTCATTCAGTTAAGTGCAACTCGGGTCAAGAGTACACAGTACAAAGTTAATATTCAGCTCAAAGCTGTTGGTTCAATTTAACTTAGCTCAAACACATGCATCTACGCAGAAAGTCATGTTGTTTATATTTCCTTATAAGAAATTAATGAAAAATCTTAATTTTGATCATGTCGTAAACAAAACTGCCATTAATCTATTTGTTATGTCGGTCACAATTACGGATTTTACCTGGAGTGTTCAGTGCACACTTATTTGAAATAGCAAGTTTTATTTTTCTAAATTCACACTTTTGATTTGGCATTGGTCAACTTTAGTTTAATTCGGGTTCATTGCTTTAATTTGTTTAGTATAAACATGGTGATTTTGTTCTGTTTCCAGGAGGCCGGTCCTATTTCTGTCTGTCATATTTCTCTTCTGTCTGTTTCTGTTCTGGTTCTGTCACTGGTGGCTGTTCTATGATAGATATCTGCATTTCCTTTATATGCTATAGATTATACATTCTCCCATAGTTTGAATTTCTACTTCCTTTTGTATATAACAAAATGTCTTCAATTTGTTTAACAAAATATAAAGATATTTTCTCTGTTTATTCCAATTATGCATAAAAATGCAATTCATATTAATTATATATTTTACAATAGCACTATATATTCAGATAAATTTTGTGATTTTTTTGCTTAGAAAATCAATTATTATATCTTTCATCATATAAAGACAAATATTTTGTCTCTAAATATAATACATACCATATTTTTACCATCCTATATAGTTGAGCCTTACAAATCTGATCATTTCTGTCATCAGCAAAAGTGGCTGAATTGTGAGACAGCTAAATTATTAAGATGATATTGTTTGGTAAAATGACTATCAGTCCCGGCCCCTAAAACACTGGTGGTCGTAAGACAACGTGATTAGTGGTGGCTAAAGAAATGAGGCTCAACGTGTATAATATTTATATAGACAGCGAGCTAAGTTTGACCATTAAAGGCTATCTCAAGCAAATATTAAGTTCATATAACTAGGGGTATTTGCGATATCTGATATTTTGTAATGTGGCAAAACTTATTGTTACATGTTTCATGGTTCCTTTGTAAGATATGGGTTTGCTACTGGTTGTAGGAAAAAGGTTGTTAGTAAAATCTTATAATAATCAAACATTTCTTTGGTGGCGTCTATTTCTTTTTCTAAGTTTTAAATTGTTCAAGATGCAAATAAAGAATGAACTTCTGTATTTAAATGTGAATACATGTATCGAGAGAGATGAAGAGTTCCTTCCCTGTTTGGTTCTTCAGACAGTGATCACTTTTACAAAATAACAGGGAATCCATTTGGGGTGATCTATCGTATATTATGCCATAATGACAAATATGTTAAAAGTGCGAGAGAAATTGTAATGGAAAGAAAGGCTTATCATTTTGAATCGTGAAACATGTTGAGGCTAGGTTTGATGCATTTTTCTCTCTGTGTCCACAATGTTTATTGGTGTTTGATTTAAATATGGTTGACAATTTCACCAGCCATTTGTTTCTGTATCATACTAGTGAATGTTCATCATTAAAATATTAATTATCATCTGCTCTCATTAAAAATGCCTGGTTCACATCAGTTCATGCATGGCTGACCTTATTTTGATTTGAAATTGATGCGTTTCTTATTTGAAAAGAATTTCTATGCTGCCTTTCATTTGTGTTAATCAATTTTGTTGTAAAATCACTCATTTATTGTTTTAACTGTCACAAGCTTTTGTGTCAGATTTTTTGTTATATTTATGTTATGGCCGATGCTCATGCTAATATCATAAATGATGTGGTTAGGGACCCACAAGTGTATCTTTGCTGAAATGTCATCAATTTCAAAGTTATTTTCTCTTAATCTGGAACAGTTATCATTATCTTCACAATTCTGAAATTTTTGGGTATATTTTGAAATGCGGGATTTGCTCCTTAAATTTCTCACTTTCAAGCTTGGTTTTCTTAGAAAAACTGTTTAATCTAAAATTTCTGGAAAAGAGCAACAAATTGCTTCAATTTCAACTATCATGCTATTATCTTAAGAAGAGGATTTAGTCAGTAAGTACAAGTTTGGGATATACATATGAATTAGCATGAGTACCAGGTTGTATTTGCAATAACGTTGCATGTTGGGCATGCTGTAGTGTGACTGCCATCGTGGCATACTTGTGTTACAGATATGGTTCACAGTATGGCAGCACCGGACCTTACCGCCGGCCGACCTCCTTCACCTCCACCTCGTCCTCCTACCTACCAGCGTACATCCCCTACTACTCACGCCAACAGGAGAACAACGAGCGACGCGAACGAGAAAAGGAGTCAGCAGCCGCAGCCAACTCACGGCTCACCGGCTCGACGACTCCAACCTCATCTAGCGGATCAAGCATGTCATCGTCAATGTCATCATCGTCATCATCTAACATCATTACCTCCCCCTACTCTAATTACCAATTTAGTAAAAGGTTTGTTCATTTCATCATGGTCCGTCTTATTTACTAACATCTACATTAATTGAATCAGTATCTACAATTTAATTAAGTGTTCGGGGTATGTGCTATACCATACTGTCTTCAGTTTTGTTTATTTTTAGGAATAACAAAAACAGAAAATTGTAAGATCTTTCTAAAATGAAGAAAAATGTTGCATGTTGAAATGTTGACTTGAGATAAAACAAAGGATGATTTTGGTCCAAAATTCAGTTTAATATACCAAAAATATTCGGTGCAAATTAAAACTATTGAAATTGTTCCATACAGATTTTAACTTGCTTAACTTCCTTTGAAAGGAAGGTTTTCTTATATGAAAAATAATACCCTACAATTAACACGGGTGTCAAGAATGATTCGATGGAATGCACTAACAGAAGTTGACATATTTCAGTTTGCTTTTTTGCATTGTTTGCTTGCTTGGTTTTGGTAAATGTAAAATGTTACTGGGTAAACTAAAATCATCAGGATACGTCTATGATGTTACGAAAAAAAGTTGGGATAAACATTTTTATTTTGGGGGTCAACTCATTAATTTAGAATTTTTCATATGGATTTCGTTTTTATACAGTATTGCAGCTTTAAATCTTCGAGAAAGAAGGCAAAGCAAAATTTGCTGCCATAATGAACAATATTCTTGTGGGGAATCAAATGATGTTATGTAAGATCATAGAAATCAGAGAAAGTTCAGAAATATGGTTAACCCTTTCACCACTGTGGACCACAATGAACTCATCCAGATGAATGTATGGTAGAGTCTACTAAAGCTACCTAGGGGTGAAAGGGTCAATTACAAAATTACAGTAGTACGTCTTAAGAGTAAATCTTCATAATTTTACATTATGAAGGATTTGTTTTCTGTTAATCAGATCATATGAACCACCAAGGCGTGATGAGGAGGCAGAGACCCTAAGGAAGGCTCGGGCCAAGCGTGCTCGGGAGACGAGGCGGTCTACACAGGTATGGTCACCGTACCACAATGCCAACCAATACAGCCGGCATCAGACTGTAATCGGGGTCAAATAGTGGTAATGAACAAGGTTCAGGTCAGCTCGGGTGTAAATCTACTGTTCTGAGGCAAGACAGAGTTATAACGTAGAAGAGATTTAAAATATACTGGCTAAAGACGAGAGTAAAATGTATTAGTAAGATTATATTAAAAATTTAAAGAAGTCGGTATCACATTTCACGAGACAACGCAAAGCGAGGATGAATATCTTCAGGTTTTGGTACAGTTAATTTGCACATACCTTGCAAGTCCCTACATTTCTCTTTTCAATCAACTGTAACAAGATTGTTTCTATCTTCAATATTTGCTAGTCATCAAGAGTAGCCAAGTTTGCTTTCACGTTGTTCAATTGAAATTGAGAATAAGAAAATTTTGTAGCAAATTTCTTTGCTTTATTTCTAGGGTGTCACGTTAGAAGATATACAGCAAGCAGAGAAAGCGTTGAAGGATCCATCAAAGGTTACTTCCACAACTACTGGGACAACGACAACTACAACAAGCAGTACAAGCGGCGCTGACGACAAGAGTCGGGTACCTGAAGCTGGCTCCCAGAAGGACAGCGAGCGAGTACCTGGCCTAGAAAGTACCAAAAAGGAAGTGAGTGCCTCAGAGGACACCACTGTACTTCGTCGGCGCACCCTGGAAGAACGCCGACAGGTTAGTACAGACAGAGATATGATGTGATTGTAAGCTTCTGATATTGGCGTTGATTACAGAATAGATGTAACGGTTTCCTTGAGATTATGATGAAAATTTCCTTAAGGTGGTATTGTGTTTGATCGTTAAGGTGGTATTGTGTTTGTTCCTTAAGGTGGTATTAGTTTGTTCCTTAAAGTGGTATTGTGTTTGTTGGTAAAGGTGGTATTGTGTTTGTTGGTAAAGGTGGTATTGTGTTTGTTCCTTAAAGTGGTATTGTGTTTGTTCCTTAAGGTGGTATTGTGTTTGTTGGTAAAGGTGGTATTGTGTTTGTTCCTTAAAGTGGTATTGTGTTTGTTCGTAAAGGTGGTATTGTGTTTGTTCATAAAGGTGGTATTGTGTTTGATCCTTAAGGTGGTATTGTGTATGTTCCTTAAGGTGGTATTGTGTATGTTCCTTAAGGTGGTATTGTGTATGTTCCTTAAGGTGGTATTGTGTATGTTCCTTAAGGTGGTATTGTGTTTGTTCCTTAATGTGGTATTGTGTTTGTTTGTAAAGGTGGTATTGTGTTTGTTCCTTAAGGAGGTATTGTGTTTGTTCCTTAAGGTGGTATTGGGTTTGTTCGTAAAGGTGGTATTGTGTTTGTTCGTAAAGGTGGTATTGTGATTGATCGTTAAGGTGGTATTGTGTTTGATCGTTAAGGTGGTATTGTGTTTGATTGTAAAGGTGGTATTGTGTTTGATCGTAAAGGTGGTATTGTGTATGATTGTTAAGGTGGTATTGTGTTTCATCGTTAAGGTGGTATTGTGTTTGTTCCTTAAGGTGGTATTGGGTTTGTTCGTAAAGGTGGTATTGTGTTTGTTCCTTAATGTGGTATTGTGTTTGTTTGTAAAGGTGGTATTGTGATTGATCGTTAAGGTGGTATTGTGTTTGATCGTTAAGGTGGTATTGTGTTTGTTTGTAAAGGTGGTATTGTGATTGATCGTTAAGGTGGTATTGTGTTTGATCGTTAAGGTGGTATTGTGTTTGTTCCTTAAGGTGGTATTATGGTTGTTCCTTAAGGTGGTATTGTGTTTGTTCCTTAATGTGGTATTGTGTTTGTTTGTAAAGGTGGTATTGTGTTTGTTCCTTAAGGTGGTATTGGGTTTGTTCGTAAAGGTGGTATTGTGTTTGTTCATAAAGGGGGTATTGTGTTTGATGCTTAAGGTGGTATTGTGTATGTTCCTTAAGGTGGTATTGTGTATGTTCCTTAAGGTGGTATTGTGTATGTTCCTTAAGGTGGTATTGTGTTTGTTCCTTAATGTGGTATTGTGTTTGTTTGTAAAGGTGGTATTGTGTTTGTTCCTTAAGGTGGTATTATGTTTGTTCCTTAAGGTGGTATTGTGTTTGTTGGTAAAGGTGGTATTGTGTTTGTTCCTTAAGGTGGTATTATGTTTGTTCCTTAAGGTGGTATTGTGTTTGTTGGTAAAGGTGGTATTGTGTTTGATCCTTAAGGTGGTATTGTGTTTGTTCGTTAAAGTGGTATTGTGTTTGTTGGTAAAGGTGGTATTGTGTTTGTTGGTAAAGGTGGTATTGTGTTTGTTCCTTAAGGTGGTATTGTGTTTGATCGTAAAGGTGGTATTGTGTTTGTTCGTAAAGGTGGTATTGTGTTTGTTCGTAAAGGTGGTATTGTGATTGATCGTTAAGGTGGTATTGTGTTTGATCGTTAAGGTGGTATTGTGTTTGATTGTAAAGGTGGTATTGTGTTTGATCGTAAAGGTGGTATTGTGTTTGTTGGTAAAGGTGGTATTGTGTTTGTTCCTTAAGGTGGTATTGTGTTTGTTCCTTAAGGTGGTATTGTGTTTGTTCCTTAAGGTGGTATTGTGTATGTTCCTGAAGGTGGTATTGTGTTTGTTCGTAAAGGTGGTATTGTGTTTGTTCCTTAAGGTGGTATTGTGTTTGATCGTTAAGGTGGTATTGTGTTTGATCGTAAAGGTGGTATTGTGTTTGATCGTAAAGGTGGTATTGTGTTTGTTCGAGGATGACCTGAGAAGTAGCTACAGAAAGTCACGAGATTCTGTCAAGGATTACTCCACAGATTCTGGTATGTATACACTCAACCACACCCACAGTAAAACACAGTGATTTAACTGTCAATGTACACTCAACAACACCCACAGTAAAACACAGTGACTTAACTGTCAAGGATTACTCCACAGATTCTGGTATGTATACAGTCAACCACACCCACAGTAAAACACAGTGACTTAACTGTCAAGGTACACTCAACCACACCCACAGTAAAACACAGTGACCTAACGGTCAAGGATTACTCCACAGATTCTGGTATGTATACAGTCAACCACACCCACAGTAAAACACAGTGACTTAACTGTCAAGAATCTTGGGTTACAATTCATTGGTATTGTGTTTGTTCCTTAAGGTGGTATTGTGTTTGTTCGTAAAGGTGGTATTGTGATTGATCGTTAAGGTGGTATTGTGTTTGATCGTTAAGGTGGTATTGTGTTTGTTCCAGGATGACCTGAGAAGTAGCTACAAGAAGTCACGAGATTCTGTCAAGGATTACTCCACAGATTCTGGTATGTATACACTAACCACACCCACAGTAAAACACAGTGAACTAACTGTCAATGTACACTCAACCACACCCACAGTAAAACACAGGGATTTAACTGTCAATGTAAACTCAACCACACCCACAGTAAAACACAGTGACTTGACTGTCAATGTACACTCAACCACACCCACAGTAAAACACAGGGATTTAACTGTCAATGTAAACTCAACCACACCCACAGTAAAACACAGTGACTTGACTGTCAATGTACACTCAACCACACCCACAGTAAAACACAGCGACTTAACTGTCAAGGATTACTCCACAGATTCTGGTATGTATACACTAACCACACCCACAGTAAAACACAGTGAACTAACTGTCAATGTACACTCAACCACACCCACAGCAAAACACAGTGATTTAACTGTCAATGTACACTCAACCCCACCCACAGTAAAACACAGTGACTTAACTGTCAATGTACACTCAACCGCACCCACAGTAAAACACAGTGACTTAACTGTCAAGGTACACTCAACCACACCCACAGTAAAACACAGTGATTTAACTGTCAGTGTACACTCAACCACACCCACAGTAAAACACAGTGACTTAACTGTCAAGAATCTTGGGTTACAATTCATAAGATGTTGACAATTTGTTATATAACATGCATGGTCAATTATTCATGTTCTATCATAACCATAGCCTCCTTAACTGGGATGCAAGCAACCTTCAAACTACAATACTGACATTCCATTGAACCTGCATCGCCATGTCCTTGACCCCAATGATAACTCTTGCATTGGTTCAACCATAATCACCAAAGAGCAAAGATCATGTACGTTTCATTATTCTATATTCAGCATCGTGTCAGACAGAATGAATGGAGTTGACTAATGTTGTCACAGATTGTAGCAAATTTAATATGAATGCTTGACTACTTTATTTGCTTGCATATTTCAAGGATAAAATAGGTGGAAAGAATATTTGAATAAATCAATATTAATCCCTTTACAACTTGTATAATATAACTCAGATATGGACCTATTCCAGAATAATAGCCATAGAGGAGTTAAGGGCAATTTGTTTTGAAAATATTTCTATTTTCTGCTAACATTAGATTTAGTTACAAATAGAGTATTATATATAATTTCAATGCAGCTTCAATATGTTAGCAAGTGTTCGGATATTTTTACATCTTTATATTTCAATTCAATACACTTCACTTTTTTTTATAACACATTGTAAAACACAGACTTTCTGTAGAATATCATATTGATGATGCTTCAAGATCATTCTTTTATTTTGTCACGGATCAAATGCAACCTGTGCAGAAAAGCTTAGAAATCAATTTGATGGGCTATACTTAAATCAAAACAAGGGCGGAATACTCACTGTTTAGACACTTATAATACAGAACAAGTGAAATATCTGGTCGTATGAGAATAGGATTGGAAAAATTTGCTGAACTCATAATATATAGATTAGGTAACAACACTACCTAGTAGTAAACCGGTATTTGGTTTTTGAAAACCAATTAAAGTAATGGATATACTTTATTATTCAAACAAAATAAATATACATTATTACACATTACATGTAACAGATATGTTATATTATAACTCATATTTAATTTACATTATTAATACATAACATAAACTTTACATAAGCAATATTAAATCATGCTTGGAATAAAGTGATAAAAAAGATTTAACATCAATGCCTCCAACTGCTCCCTTCTGATGTACAAAAGATGTTACGAAAACCGGTCTTCCTGCTGCAAAACTGGCTGACTTGTTTATGAAGTTGAAATATCAGGACCAGTTTGATTTTTAGGAGTTCAGACATGTTGATCCTTGTCAGAAATATATGTCTTTATTTACGGTAGAATTTTTCAACCTCATAAATGAAAACAGGCCAGTTTTTATCTAGCTAATATATTCCAGCATAATGTCCTGCATGCCGCCCTAATATTGCAATTTGTTTTCAGCCTATATACCTCGACGTGAGAGGAATACACTGTCCACATCGGACGGTTCCTCCACCACTTCTAGTCTGAACGCTGGGTCTGGGCTTACGCGTGTCTCCTCACTACGCACTAACCGGATACGCAATGGAGAATTAGAAAGTCGTAATGAAGACAAAGATAAAGAAGAACGACAGAAAGATTCTAAAGATGGTAAAACACAGCAAAGTGTTTGGTGCCGTTTGTGTTTATATCCTAGTTAGTCAAGTGTGTGTCTACGAAATAGCTAGAGAAACGTGTGTATCAGATAGCTAGAGAAACGTGTGTTCATCAGATAGTTAACCATGTGTGTGTTCATCAGATAGCTAGACAAAAACTGTGTTCATGAGGCAGTTAACAATGTGTGTTTTCATCAGGTAGTTAATCATGTGTGTGTTCATCAGATAGCTAGACAAAAACTGTGTTCATGAGGCAGTTAACCATGTGTGTGTTCATCAGGTAGTTAACCATATGTGTGTTCATCAGGTAGTTAACTGTGTGTGTTCATCAGATAGTTAACAATGAGTGTGTTCATCAGATAGTTAACCATGTGTGTGTTCATCAGATAGTTAACCATGTGTGTGTTTAAAGAGTTAACCATGTGTGTGTTCATCAGATAGTTAACCATGTGTGTGTTCATCAGATAGTTAACTATGTATGTGTTCATTAGAAAGTTAACAATGGGTGTGCTCATCAAATACAGTCCAGCTTTAAATTTGATGTTTCAAAATTTGTTGAACCATCAGGAAAGTTTGAAACGTCAAGACTTTGAGTCACGAATGTTGAACTTCGATTGTCTATGAGATCCTGTATATACTACATAAGACTGAATGTGATTGTTGTGTGACAGAATGTAAGGCAGAAAATTTGATTTGAAATCTACAAATATTGGATTTAATGAAATTAGAAAAATATGCTATTTTTGGTGTTAAAAATGACTCTAGGACATTACAATGTTCTTTTACAGATAATTGTTTTACTTGGACTTATTTGTTGTAATTTAAAATGTTTTCCTAACCATATGACCTTGATTGTACATTTGTAGTTCGAAACAGCGAAGTTTGATTCTTAAATAGAATGTCAGTAGAGTTATATAAGGAGAAATTCCAGACCTTGCTGTAAGTTTGACACATCCAGATATTAGAATCTTTGAATTTTGATTTAGTTACCATGTGGATGTTCATCAGAAAGCTAGCCAAGTGTGCATCCTCCAGGTAGCTAAGATATCTAGACATCTGTTTAGGTGCTTAGCTTCATTCAGCTAAAAAAGAAACAGTTATTTTACAAGGAAAAGGACTAGAAATGTATGTATTGAAGTCCATGGAAAGAGCCGAAGTCTTGAAGAGAAAAAAACAGAAGTGTATTTTCAACTAATCAGCAGTGTATAAAAGAAAACACAGCCATATCTGAAAAGAGGAAAATTGATAAGAAGGTCCTACATGTGATTGCATACTACAGTACTTTTTTCAGTTCAGTTTTGGTAAATACAATTATATTGTATCATTTTTTATAAGTTTTGAATTTCAGATTTAAAAAATTGTTGTTAAGATCTATTAATCATTATAATGTGAATCTGGTTTTTGTTTTCTTCAGACTCACAAGAGAAATCCCATGATATGAGGACAGTACGAGCTCGGAGAACAAGGAAAGAGAGACGATCAACGGGTATAGTGTCCTATGATGCCAAAAATGATGTAAGTCACACAGTTATCTCCCTTGGTTCTGATTTATGTGAATGGCGTAATGTTCAGTACCAATATTTCTAAAGTGTCTTATCAACGAGTTTAGTTGACAAATGGTATATGGATGTATGGATGTATATGAGGATATCATAGTCATGTATTGCTTAAACACATCTTTGTTCTGTTCCATCACTGTATGTTATATGTATGTTGTAAAATAATAATGTTTGGCTTACCTTTAATTGATACAAGTGTTATTCATGGCTGGCTATACTAAGCTTGGTGTTTAATAGTCATGGCTGGCTATACTAAGCTTGTTGCTTAAGTCATGGCTGGCTTTACTAAGCTTTGTGTTTAAGTCATGGCTGGCTATACTAAGCTTGGTGTTTTATAGTCATGGTTAGCTATACTAAACTTGGTGTTTAAGTCATGGCTGGCTATACTAAGCTTGGTGTTTAAGTCATGGCTGGCTATACTAAGCTTGGTGTTTTATAGTCATGGCTAGCTATACTAAACTTGGTGTTTAAGTCATGGCTAGCTATACTAAGCTTGGTGTTTAATAGTCATGGCTAGCTATACTAAACTTGGGGTTTAAGTCATGGCTAGCTATACTAAGCTTGTTGTTTAATAGTCATGGCTAGCTATACTAAGCTTGTTGTTTAAGTCATGGCTGGCTATACTAAGCTTGGTGTTTAAGTCATGGCTGGCTATGCTAAGCTTGGTGTTTAATAGTCATGGCTGGCTATACTAAGCTCGGTGTTTAAGTCATGACTGGCTATACTAAGCTTGGTGTTAAAGTTATGGCTAGCTATACTAAGCTTGGTGTTAAAGTTATGGCTAGCTATACTAAGCCTAGTGTTTTAAGTCATGGCTGGCTTTACTTAGTTTGGTGTTTAAGTCATGGCTGGCTTTACAAAGCTTGGTGTTTAAGTCATGGCTGGCTATACTAAGCTTGGTGTTTAAGTTATGACTGGCTATACTAAGCTTGGTGTTTAAGTCATGGCTGACTGTACTAAGCTTGTTGTTTAAGTCATGGCTGCCTTTACTAAGCTACGTGTTTAAGTCATGGTTGGCTATACTTAGCTTGGTGTTTAAGTTTTGACTGGCTATACTAAGCTTGGTGTTTAAATCATGGCTAGCTATACTAAGCTTGGTGTTTAAGTCATGGCTGTCTATACTAAGCTTGGTGTTTAAGTTATGACTGGCTATACTAAGCTTGGTGTTAAAGTCATGAATGGCTATACTAAGCTTGGTGTTTAGGTCATGGCTGGCTATACTAAGATTGGTGCTTTAAGTCATGACTGGCTATACTAAGCTTGGTGTTTTAAGTCATGGCTGGCTATACTAAGCTTGGTGTTTAAGTCATGGCTGGCTATACTAAGCTTGGTGTTTAAGTCATGACTGGCTATACTAAGCTTGGTCGTCCGTTCGTCCGTCCGTCCGTCAACTTTTCCTTTGAAACGCTTCTTGTCCTGAACGGCCAAGTATATTTAGACTAAATTTGGTCTGGAGCATCTTTAGGCCAAGGGGACTCAATTTTGTATAAATGTTGGGTCTGGCCCCCCTGGGGACTGATGAGCGGGGCCCAATAGGGGAAATATAGCAAATTCTTTAAAATCCTTCTTCTTCTGTAGGAATGAAATGATTTGTTCCATAATTGGTCAGAAGCATCCTTGGGGGAAGGGGAACCAATTTTGTATAAACCATGGGTGTTGCCCCCCTGGGGGCTGAGGGGCGAGCCCAATAGGGGATATATAGCAAATTCTTTAAAATCCTTCTTTTTCTGTAGGAATGAAAGGATTTGGTCCATATTTGGTCTAAAGCATTCTTTGGGGAAGGGGAACCAATTTTGTATAAACCATGGGTGTGGCCCCCCAGGGGCCTGAGGGGTGGGGCCCAATATGGGAAACATAGCAAATTCTTTAAAATCCTTCTTCTGTAGGAATGAAAGGATTTGTTCTGTATTTAGTCAGAAGCATCCTTGGGTGAAGGGGAACCAATTTTGTACAAATCGTGGGTGTGGTACCCCAGGGGCCTGAGGGGTGGGGCCCAATAGGGGAAACATAGCAAATTCTTTAAAATCCTTCTTCTGTAGTAATGAAAGGATTTGTTCCATATTTGATCTGAAGCAACCTTGGGTGAAGGGGAACCAATTTTGTATAAACCGTGGGTGTGGCCCCCCCAAAGGGGCCTGAGGGGCGGGCCCAATATGGGAAACATAGCAAATTATTCTTTAAAATTCTTCGTCTCTAGGAATGAAAGGATTTGGTCCATATTTGGTGTGGTGCATCCTTTGGTAAAGGAGAACCAATTTTGTATAAACGGTGGGTGCCCCCCCCCCCCCCCCCCTGTGGGACCTAAGGGGCGGGGCCCAATAGGGGAAATATAGGTAAAACCTTTATAATCCTTCTTCTACCATAGGGATGGATTAAGGGATTTTATCCCTATTTAGTCTGGAGCATCAATGGGCCAAGGGGACTCAATTTTGTATAAGCATGCAGTGGGTGTGGTCTCCCAAGGGGCAGAAGGGCGGGGCCCAATAGGAGAAATAGAGGTAAAACCTTTATAATCCTCTTCGACCATCGGGATTATTGGATTTTATCCTTGTTTAGTCTGGAACATCCTTGGGTCAAGGGGACTCAATTTTGTGTAATTGGAGGGTATGACCCCCCCCCCCCTAAGTTGCAAATAGGGGTAGGGCTCTGTTTGAAGAGTGTTCTCGATCTATCTCAAGTACTGGATGGATCTTTCTGAAATTTCATATGTACTTAAAGCACCTACTTCATATCAATTATTTTAAATATATTCAGGTGAGCAATACAGGCCCTCTGGGCCTCTTGTTTTAAGTCATGGCTGGCTATGCTAAGCTTTGTGCTTTAAGTCATGACTGGCTATACTAAGCTTGGTGTTTAAGTCATGGCTGGCTATACTAAGCTTGTTATTTTAAGTCATGGCTGGCTATGCTAAGCTTTGTGCTTTAAGTCATGACTGGCTATACTAAGCTTGGTGTTTAAGTCATGGCTGGCTGTACTAAGCTTAGTGGTCATTCTGCTGCTACGACATTAATCTTATTTGATGCAGGTCTCATTTTTGTTTCATTTGTAGAAAATGCTAACATTCCCAATAGATTTTTGTTTTAAGGTAAAATTGGTTATTTGCTGGCCTTCATGAATACACTCAAACCCTTCAACTGTGCTTTGTACAAAATACATAATGCTTGCTTTATACAAAATATATCCTCCCTGCCTTACACAATACATGATTCGTACCTTACACACAGTACATGCTCCTTACCTTACACACAGTACATTCTCCGTACCTTACACACAATACATGTTCCTTACCTTACATACAGTACATGCTCCTTACCTTACATACAATACATGCTCCTTACCTTACACACAATACATGCTCCTTACCTTACATACAAAACAGACTCCTTACCTTACATACAATACATGCTCCTTACCTAACACACAATACATGCTCCTTACCTTACACACAATACATGCTCCTTTCCTTACACACAATACATGTTCCTTACCTTACGCACAATACATGTTCCTTACCTTACACACAATCTCCTTACCTAACACACAATACACGCTCCTTACCTTACACACAATACAGGCTCCTTACCTTACACACAATACATGCTCCTTACCTTACATACAATACATGTTCCTTACCTTACATACAATACATGCTCCTTACCTTACACACTATACAGGCTCCTTACCTTACACACAATACATGATCCTTACCTTACACACTATACAGGCTCCTTACCTTACACACAATACATGATCCTTACCTTACACACAATACATGCTCCTTACCCTACATACAATACATACTCCTTACCTTACACACAATACAGGCTCCTTACACACAATACATGCTCCTTACCTTACACACAATACAGGCTCCTTTTCTTACACACAATACATGCTCCTTACCTTACACACAATACAGACTCCTTACCTTACACACAATACATGATCCTTATCTTACACACAATACAGGCTCCTTACCTTACACACAATACAGGCTCCTTTTCTTACACACAATACATGCTCCTTACCTTACACACAATACAGACTCCTTACCTTACACACAATACATGATCCTTATCTTACACACAATACAGGCTCCTTACCTTACACACAATACAGGCTCCTTTTCTTACACACAATACATGCTCCTTACCTTACACACAATACAGACTCCTTACCTTACACACAATACATGCCTCTTACCTTACACACAATATAGGCTCCTTAACTTACACACAATACAGGCTCCCTGCCTTCCACACAAGACATTATCCTTTTATTTAATTCATGATCCTTACCCTACACACAATACAGGCTCCTTACCTTACACACAATATAGGCTCCTTACCTTACACACAATACAGGCTCCTTACCTTACACACAATACAGGCTCCTTACCTTACACACATTATAGGCTCCTTACCTTACACACAATACATGATCCTTACCTTACACACAATACATGCTCCTTAGCTTACACACAGTACATGCTCTTTACCTTACACACTGTACATGCTCCTTATATACACGTTCCTTATCTTACACACAATACATGCTCCTTACCTTACACACAATACATGCTCCTTACCTTACACACAATACAGGCTCCTTACCTTACACACAATACATGCTCCTTATGTTACACACAGTACATGCTCTTTACCTTACACACTGTACATGCTCCTTATATACATGTTCCTTATCTTACACACAATACATGCTCCTTACCTTACACACAATACAGACTCCTTACCTTACACACAATACATGCCTCTTACCTTACACACAATATAGGCTCCTTACCTTACACACAATACAGGCTCCCTGCCTTCCACACAAGACATTATCCTTTTATTTAATACATGATCCTTACCCTACACACAATACAGGCTCCTTACCTTACACACAATACAGGCTCCTTACCTTACACACAATACATGCTCCTTACCTTACACACAATACAGGCTCCTTACCTTACACACAATACATGCTCCTTACCTTACACACAATACAGGCTCCTTACCTTACACACAATACATGCTCCTTACCTTACACACAATACAGGCTCCTTACCTTACACACAATACATGATCCTTACCATGCACACAAGACATGTTCACTGCCTTATATACAATACCTGCCTTCTATAAAATGCATGCTCTGTTCCTTACACATACTTTCTACTTGCCTTATTAACAATATCTTGGTAAATAACTCTGTATGACTTGATTATTCTTCTGACAACGAAAACAGGATGTGCATCACACAGTCGTTCAATACTTAACCCTTTCACACCTAGGTAACTTTAGTGGACTGTACCATGCATTTATTGGGATGAGTCCATTATGGTGGTGAAAGGGTTTAGCAGTTCTTCGTTCTGGTAAACAAACATTGATAGCACTGTGACCTGATAACATGGCTTTCCCTTCTGTCTAGTGTAGATTCCTCTTGGTCTCTATATCTGCTGTACCTCAGAGAAAAACATTCTAAAGGGCATGTTTGATTATAAATGCTTCAGAAACATTCCACAAATTAGTTAGCATGTCCGCATGACTGAGGAAGCAACATTTTATGCAATCTCTTTGACTGCGCAGTAATTTCCTCCTTTAAGGTGACTTAATTAATTTGTTAAGCATTCATGTTGATAAATAGTCTTGCGTTTTGGTGACCGAGGAAAATTCATTAATATAATATAAATATTCAAGCCAATTTCTATATCAAAGCTAATGTTTCCTGCTCTTATTAAAAGAAATGATCATAATGCTGAATTATTATTGTGGGTATAGTTTGGTAAGTATAGAGGGATGTGTACATGTGACCCTTTTACTGAAATGAACTTGACCAGAGCTGTCACCCTGTTTTCAGGATGAAGATGAGAAAGAAGAAGAAAAAGAGGAGAAGAAAGAAGATAAGAAAGAAACTGAGGATAAGGTAAGCACATTTATACTTTCAATTGCTTCAGAGGAATGATTTCAAAATGGAGGCTTCCTTTAAAAAAGAATTATTACAGAAACACTACATACCGTGATGGGAATCTGGGCTGTCTGTAAAGTGGATGAATGTTTACTAGTTTGTTTGTTTGGTCTCACAACAGCTAAGGTCATACAAAGACAGGTGTCTAGGGAGACATTGCCACAACAGCTAAGGTCATACAAAGACAGGTGTCTAGGGAGACATTGCCACAACAGCTAAGGTCATACAAAGACAGGTGTCTAGGGAGACATTGCCACAACAGCTAAGGTCATACAAAGACAGGTGTCTAGGGAGACATTGCCACAACAGCTAAGGTCATACAAAGACAGGTGTCTAGGGAGACATTGCCACAACAGCTAAGGTCATACAAAGACAGGTGTCTAGGGAGACATTGCCACAACAGCTAAGGTCATACAAAGACAGGTGTCTAGGGAGACATTGCCACAACAGCTAAGGTCATACAAAGACAGGTGTCTAGGGAGACATTGCCACAACAGCTAAGGTCATACAAAGACAGGTGTCTAGGGAGACATTGCCACAACAGCTAAGGTCATACAAAGACAGGTGTCTAGGGAGACATTGCCACAACAGCTAAGGTCATACAAAGACAGGTGTCTAGGGAGACATTGCCACAACAGCTAAGATCATACAAAGACAGGTGTCTAGGGAGACATTGCCATAAAGAATGTGTACGGAAGTGGGAAAAGAAAGGGACCCAGAGTGTTATTGGGTCTTAGGGGACATTGTTGATCTGCTGCTCCATTGAAACACTTGGTATCTCTAACTTTTATATTCCAACTTCTATACACTTTCCTTACGCCAATGTCTTGTTCCTTGAACCTGAAGTTCATTTAATAAGACACTGGTACACAAGTTGAATGTTTACCAGACACCTGGATGTTTACCAGACACCTGTACAGTAGGTGGATGTTTACTAGATACCTGTACAGTAGTTGAAGTTTACAAGACACCTTTACTGTAGTTGGATGTTTACTAGACACCTGAACAGTAGTTGAAGTTTACAAGATACCTGTACAGTAGTTGGATGTTTATCAGACACCTGTACAGTAGTTGGATGTTTACCAGACACATGTACAGAAGTTGGATGTTTACTACATACCTGTACAGTAGTTTGATGTTTACCAGATACATGTACAGTAGTTGGATGTTTTCAAGACACATTTACATCAGTTGGATGTCTACCAGATACCAGTTCAGTTGTTGGATGTCTAAATGTCACATGTACATTAGTTGGATGTTTATCAGACACCTGTACAGTAGTTGGATGTTTATCAGACACCTGTACAGTAGTTGGATGTTTACCAGACACATGTACAGAAGTTGGATGTTTACTACATACCTGTACAGTAGTTTGATGTTTACCAGATACATGTACAGTAGTTGGATGTTTTCAAGACACATTTACATCAGTTGGATGTCTACCAGATACCAGTTCAGTTGTTGGATGTCTAAATGTCACATGTACATTAGTTGGATGTTTATCAGACACCTGTACAGTAGTTGGATGTTTATCAGACACCTGTACAGTAGTTCGATGTTTACCAGATACATGTACAGTAGTTGGATGTCTACCAGATACCTGTACAGTAGTTGGATGTTTATCAGGCACCTGTACAGTAGTTGAATGTCTACCAGACACCTGTACAGTAGTTGGATGTTTACTAGATACATGTACAGTAGTTGGATGTTTATCAGACACCTGTACAGTAGTTGGATGTCTACCAGTCATCTGTACAGTAGTTGGATATCTAAATGTCACATGTACATTAGTTGGACGTTTATCAGACACCTGTACAGTAGTTGGATGTTTATCAGACACCTGTACATTAGTTGGATGTTTACCAGACACCATGTACGGTAGTTGGATGTTTATCCGAAACCTGTACAGTAGTTCGATGTTTACCAGATACATGTACAGTAGTTGGATGTCTACAAGTCATCTGTACAGTAGTTGGATGTCTACCAGATACCTGTACAGTAGTAGGATGTTTACCAGATACATGTACAGTAGTTGGATTTTTATCAGACACCTGTACATTAGTTGGATGTTTACCAGACACCATGTACAGTAGTTGGATGTCTACAAGTCATCTGTACAGTAGTTGGATGTTTATCAGACACCTGTACAGTAGTAGGATGTTTACCAGACACCATGTACAGTAGTTGGATGTTTATCAGACACCTTTACAGTAGTTGGATGTTTATCAGACACCTGTACAGCAGTTCAATGTTTACCAGATACCAGTTCAGTTGTTGGATGTTTACTAGATACATGTACAGTAGTTTGATGTTTATCAGACACATGTACAGTAGTTGGATGTTTATCAGACACCTGTACAGTAGTTGGATGTTTATCAGACACCTGTACAGATGTTGAATGTCTACCAGATACCTGTACAGTAGTTGGATGTTTATCAGACACCTTTACAGTAGTTGGATGTTTATCAGACACCTGTACAGTAGTTGAATGTTTACCAGATACCAGTTCAGTTGTTGGATGTTTACTAGATACATGTACAGTAGTTTGATGTTTATCAGACACATGTACAGTAGTTGGATGTTTATCAGACACCTGTACAGTAGTTGGATGTTTATCAGACACCTGTACAGATGTTGAATGTCTACCAGATACCTGTACAGTAGTTGGATGTTTATCAGACACCTTTACAGTAGTTGGATGTTTATCAGACACCTGTACAGTAGTTGAATGTTTACCAGATACCAGTTCAGTTGTTGGATGTTTACTAGATACATGTACAGTAGTTTGATGTTTATCAGACACATGTACAGTAGTTGGATGTTTATCAGACACCTGTACAGTAGTTGGATGTTTACCAGATACATGTACAGTAGTTGGATGTCTACCATACACCTGTACAGTAGTTGGATGTCTACCATACACCTGTACAGTAGTTGGATGTTTATCAGACACCTGTACAGCAGTTGGATGTTTATTAGACACCTGTACAGTAGTTGGATGTCTACCATACACCTGTACAGTAGTTGGATGTTTATCAGATACCTGTACAGTAGTTGGATGTTTATCAGACACCTGTACAGTTGTTGAATGTCTACCAGACACCTGTAGCATCACAATAAGCCTGGTGTTTGATCTCGTATATATCACAATGCAAAAGGAATGTACTGTGTTATGTATTTCAATATATTGTTATAGTTAAAAGGTGCTTAAGTTAGATAAGAAAAAAATACAAGTGTCTTGGGCCTCTTTAATAAACTTAAAGTCTATTCTGAGATCACATTAACGGTTTGTTTGTGTCACTGTGTATATCTATCTAGTGGACCATTGATTCTAGACTGTCGACAATTTTCTTGTTTCCAGGAAATAAAGAAGCTCAGTATCCCAGACAGAAACTAGTTGATACTGTTAAATCAAGCCTTCCAGGCTCGCTTTTATGAACCTGATTTCACATAGAGGATATATGTAGCTTGTTGTAGTTGGAAATAAAATCAGTGTACCGGATAGTTATAAAATACAAATCTACAATAAAGGAGGTATGTCTGCGATACGACTGATGTCACACACTTCTGAGCAACATGGTGATATTTTACGGTGGGAATATTATTTGCCAATGCAATAAGGAAGAGTTTAAGTGGTGGTTGTATGACTGTGTTGGTGATTAAAAGGAATTGTCTTTTGTTAGGCTGTGTCGGGCTAAACTTGTGTCAACGCTCAGAATATATCTTGACGTATCTACATATATTTATTGGTGTTGGATGAGCAGATTGTTTAGATAAGATTATGATAATGATGTATTGGTGAATAGATGTACATGTGCTGTGTATGCTCCACTGATCACAGTAATCCCCGAGTATCTCATGATTTTGCTGGCTGGGCTTTCTCATTGGCCAAGACATACTGTTGTATGTCTTCAGAAAATTGAAAAAAATGCAATTTTGTTAATTAAGAAATATAAGCCGACCCTTTGTTAGTGACATTGTTGTTTTCTTTTCAATATTCTCTTTAAAGGTCTTAAACTAGAGGTTGGCCAGTGATTAGCTCCGAGATATTTCTGTGTTTGGAAAGACTAATTTCCATTTTACCTGATTTTGGCTGAACTGACTTTTGGGAAAGCATTCTTAGTTCTTTTAGTAGCTTCTCTATATTAAACTTGTGAAAGTTATGAAATCATGATATATTTTAGTCGCTGTAATAAGAATAGATATCGCTGTATTTGTGAAAGTACAACAGGATGTAAGTTCAACAGTCTTTGCAGTAAACTTGTATATTTTGATCCATGTCATACATTCCAGTGGTAATTCAAGAGAGTTTATGTAAGTCCACTCTTAAGTTTGTTTCCCCGATAGAATGACCTCAGTTTGTACAGCAATTACTTGGAAAGTAATTTGAGTTGATGAGTATTGCATCAAGTAATCCAGTGACCCGGCTTGGCAGAGAATCTGAGCTGACATCAAAGTCAGTCGTGAAAAAAGTACTGATAAATTGATAAGGAATCCTGGGTTTTTTGTAACTCAACATGAAAGAGGTATTCACCAGGAATGAGAGGTCTAGGTGTACTGTAAGTATGCTACTATTTTGATGAGTAAAAATACAAAGTATGTAGCAAATAACTTCTGTTAAACTATATATGAATTAGATCTTACCATACTTTCTAAATTAATATGGATTACGTATTACCTAGATGCAACATTTTGGATTGACGTTATCTTGAAACTTTAAGCAAGACAGCCATTGGATGTGTCCAATCTTACAATATCTATGTTGAAATGTCATTATCCAGTCTGCTTTCTGATCTTTAAAGCAAGATTAAAACTATTCTCAATCCAGGAAATCGTTACATAAAATGCGATCACGAGGACATTCTGTCATACCAGAAAATCGGACAACTTTAAAGTAGGTCATCTACATGTAAATCTAGCAACTGTAAAACTATTGTAACATTCTGAAAAGCGATACT